TTGTGGGCATTCAGGGAGTGAACCATACAGAAGATGGAAGATTGCTGTCTGTCCTTCAAATATATAAAAATAAATTTTAATCTTAATTAAATATATGAAGTATTAACACATGCACCAAGATACTCACATAACTGTTTAATCTTTTTTAAAAATATATTTTATTTATTTTTACAGCAAACTCAGATATACAGCGAGGAGGAGAGACAGAGAGAAAGATCTGTCCGATGATTCACCACTACCCAAGTGACTACAATGGCTAGAGCTGAGCCGGTCTGGAGCCCCCAGAAGCCAGGAACCTCTTCCGGGTCACCCATGCAGGTGCAGGGCCCCAAAACCTTGGGTCATCCTCAACTGCTTTCTCAGGCCACAGGCAGGGAGCTAGATGGAAAGTGGGGCTGCTGGGATTAAAACCAGCACACATACAAGAACCCGGGGCATTCAATGCAAGGATTTTAGTAGCTAGGCTACTGCGCGAGGCCCCATAAATTTTAATTTTTGAAGTGACTATATGAGACAGGTTTTACTATTATCACATCCATTTCACAGATGTGACAATTGAGGGACACAGAAATAAAGTAAATTTCTTGAGGTCTCACATTGTGAGTAAGCCACAGAGCCAGAACTAATATACAGAAACTACAACTCAGAGCCATTGAGCCCTTGCTGCTTTTTTAAGCATCTTTTTTATATTTTGAATTTTATGATACAATTCTGTAGAGTCTGGGATTCCCCACACCCCTGCCAGTTCCCACCCATTGACTGATATTCTTGTTATCATCACAATAGCATAGTTATAATTCCATCAGTCTGTTATTTAAGTGTGCCCTGACATTGCTTGTACAGACAATGTCAGATAATCCATCATCCCATTGGCTAGACATGTCCAGCACTTCACTGGGAGTCCATCCCTGACATCCCTATGCATGTTGCATTGTGTCCCCACCTCTGGATATGGTAGTCTCCATTACTCCAGCACTACACATTCCAATTTGCGTGATGATTTCCTTATATCAGAGAGAACATATACTATTTGTCTTTTGGGGTTAACTTATTTCACTGAGCGTAATGGTCTTTAGTTGGGGCCATCTTGTTGCAAATGGTATCATTTCATTCTTTTTAATAGCTGAGTAATATTCCATGGAGTAGATGTACCACAGTTTCTTGAACCACTCCTCTCTGGATGGGTATCTGGTTGTTTTCATATCTTTGCTATTGTAGATTGTGCTGCTGTAAATATAGGATTACAGATCCCCTTACATGCAGGTTTGATTTCCTTTGGATATATTCCTAGGAGCGGGATAGTTAGGTCATATGGCAGGTTTATTTGCAATCCTCTAAGCACGCTCCATACTGATTTCCATAGTGGTTGTACTAGCCTGCACTCCCACCAGCAGTGAAGGAGGGTACCTTTCTCCCCACATCCACACCAGCAGGTGTTGTTAGTAGAATTCTGAATGTAGGCCAATCTCACTGGAGTTAGGTGGTACCTCAATGTGGTTTTCATTTGTATTTCCCTGATGGCTAGGGAGTCTCAGAATCTTTTCATATGTCTGTTAGCCATTTGAATATATCCTTTTGAAAAACATGTGTTCATTTCCTATGCCCATTTTTTCACAGGTTTTTTTTTTCTCTCTCTCCCCTGAGTTTCTGAACCTCTTTGTAAATCCTAGATATTAGTCTCCTATCACTTTTGTAGTATGCAAAAATTTCCTCCCATTCTCTTGGTTGCTTCTTCATTTTGTTAAGTTTTCTTTGCTGTACAGAAGCTTTTTAGATTGATGTAGATACATTGATTTATTTTGTCTTTGACTGCCTGTACTTTTGGCATCTTTTTCTAAGGTGGGGGCATCAGGGCTGAGCTGGGCTGCAGAAGAGAAAGTGCCTCACAAGGTTCACAGGCCAGACTCCACCCTACAAATCATATGTGGTGGGCATCACCTAGTCCCTGGTGTTGGGGGACAGAAAGCCACCATCTGAGTGAGAAAACCCCTGGTTCAGCCTCAACTTTTTTTTTTCTTTCTGGTTTGAAAAGCACAGTTACAGAGAGAAAGCAGGAGAGTCAGAGAGAGAGGGACATCTGGAGATCTTCCATCTGTTGGTTCATTCCTCAAATGACCACAACAGCCGGAGCTGGCTCAGTCTGAAGCCAGGAGCCAGGTGATTCTTCAAGGTTTCCATGTGGGTGCAGAGGTGCAAGCATTTGGGCCATCCTCTGCTGTTTTCCCAGGCCATTACCTGGATGGAAGTGGAGCAGTAGGGACTTGAACTTGTACCCACAAGGGATGCTGGTGCCAAAAAGTCTGAGCCCACTAGTTGTTGGCACCAGCCCCTAGCCTCAACATTTTAAAATTTTTCTGGTGAAGGAATCCCAGAAAAGGAATGTGACCCTCCAAGAGTCACATAGCAAGTGACCTGCCAAGGTGACTGCTAGGCCAGTTTTCTGATCACCAAGGCTGTAGCTCACTTTCCCAAACGACACATGCATGTAGGGGGAAAAAATCTAGAGGAATGATGGGAAAGGGGGAGGCCTTAAAAAATATGTGCTCTCCTAGGCTAGAAAACTTCTAATTAAAGGTCTCCTCTAGGGGCCTGTCAACTACTGAAGTCGTTCCAGCAACTCACAAGTTTCAAAAGTCTCAAGGTCGATGTCATCTGAACCCATGGCCTCTCCTAGCTGTTCCCAGAGGGGCCATTGGCCATCTGGCCAACACTGGAGATGGGCAGCTCACGCGCCATTAGTCAGCTATGCATGGTGGGGACTCCCATGGTGACATGCTGATGCCCCCCAGGACACGTGTCCTGGTACTGCCCTTGCTTACCAGCACCCCAGGACAGCCACCAGGTGCCTTTGCAGAGGACCGCTTGCAATGCTGCTAAATCTCCAGCACCCTTCCTCTCAGCCTCCTTGGGTCCAGCTGTGCTGCGGGGAGTGGGGTGGCTGCCCAGCTTGGCCTCTGGTGTCATTTCACACTTCATGCAGTACTCCCAGGGGGCACAACTGTTACTGCAAATGAGACTTTGCCTTCATCCTGGGGGCAGTGGCTCCTGGGACCCAAGTTTTCCACCTGTTGCCTCCACATGCCACATAGCACTGTATTGGCTTGGCTGAGCCACACCTCATACTCCATCCTGTCACCGTTCTGCTCCCAGAGAACACATGCCTGACTAGGAACTTCCATTTACCACACATGGGCCAGATCTTTCTGGAATCTGGCTGTGTCTACCCAGTACGTTGTGTTTCTTCTGCTCCCTCTACCCCCTACCCCGCACAGCTTCTGACCCCTGCTGGGAGCACCACTAGGAAGAGGCTCCTTGGGTGCCCAGGTAAGGCCCTGTACCCTCCCCACAGATCCTGTGCACCCCAGAAAGAGGATCCTGACCAGCAGTTACCAGCAGCTGCCTCTGTGCAACCTTACTGCAGGTGAAGCCTAATCCCGCCCCTGTATGCTCTTTGTACAACCAATACTGAGGGCAAGGCTTCTGTGTGTTTTCCAACTTTTTTAGTCCAAGTATGTACTATTTGGGCAACCGGGGCAGGAGAGTGAAAACAAGTTGCAGGTTCAAAGGCTCCTGGACTGCTCAGCACAGCAATTCCACTGCCTGGCACCTTCTTACTCCCCAGGCGTGTGAGGGAAATGTTCAGCTGTCCCGTAAGGGCTCAAAAACACTCGCTTGGGAGAGAAATGCCAGGGGAGCGGGAGGAACCGCTCTCACTTCTGGCACCTTGCTCCGGCGTGGCGGGGAGGGGAGGGGATTGTTTGTGTCTAAGGGGAGTCGTTTGCAGCCATTTCCACAACAAGTTTTGATAAAGGTGAGGAAGAATTATCAGGGAGGAGGTTGTGGTATTCAGAGGGGCCCCAAGGTGTGGATCCACTCGGTCTGCTTCCGGGACTTCCCCAGGCCAGGCCTGGGATGCCGCTCCAGGGGTCCCCTTTTTTCTCCCTCTTCTCTGGGGGAGACTGGGGTCTCCTCCCCTCCTCAAACTAGGGACGCACCTCGCGACGCCAAAGCCTTCCTGGATTTAGGTGTAAAACTGAGCCCTGGCATCCTCTACGCCGGCCAGCAGAGGGCGCGCACCACCCGCGGGAGACAGGCGCCCCGGAGAGCCAGGGCTGGGAGCTGCTGGCGCTGCCGAGAGGCAAGGCAGGGAGCGCCCTCGGAAAAATGAAAACGGAGAATCAGGATGAAAGCAAGGGGTGGTTACTGGGCGCGGGAGTAGGACGGGTCTGACAGTGAAGGAGGGACTGACCATCCGGTGGGGGAGGGCTGGGAGCAGAAGGGACAGATAGGGTGCAGTCCACGGGGAGCGAAAGGGGCAGGTGGAAGCGTGGCGCGACGGCTGGGTCCGGGATGCAACTGCATCTCCCTCGGAGGCTGGGCATACCCGCGGATCTTTAACCCCTGGGCCTGCTCTGCCCATCTCCTCCGCAGGGAGCGAGGCTTTTTCTGCCCCTTCCTTCTCTCCCCCACCCCCCAACAACCAAAAACACAGAAGGCGGTGGTGATCTCTTTAATGGGGCCTGGCAAGGGACAAACACTCCGAATCCTCCTGCTGCGTGGGATGGGGTGGGAAGTCTCGTGTCACCAGGCGGGCGCGGGTGGGCGGCCAGGGATGGGGAGAGGTGGCCTTTACTGAACCTGCTGGATCTCAGGACGCAGGACAGGTCGAGGCCTCCACGTGCTGGGATGGGGTGTGGGGCAGGAGCAAACAACACTGGGTCACGAAGGAAGGGCTTCTAGAAGCCAGGCCAGGGGCGGGTGGGAGGCAGACCGGGGTCCAGGAGTCCCCTCCCCAGAGCTGGAGACCCCAGAAAAGTTAGAGGCGCGGGGCGAATCTAACGGTAAAGGAAAGCTTGGGAAAGGCCCCAGGCCCATCCCTGGAACTGGGTGCTGCCTGGAGAGCCAAGTCTGCACTAAAGGATTGTTGACAAACTAGCACCCCACCCGGACCTGGGTGGGTTGGGAGCGCGGTAAGAGACCGATAGCCACTTTCACCGTACCCTGTCCGCCCTGTCTAGTGGTAATGACCCCCCAAATGCGAGGCGGTAGCCACGGCGGCGCCGAAGGGACCGGGCGGTGGCTGCAAGCCGGGGCTGGGGTAGAGAGCGGCGGCCGTAGCGGCGGCGGCAGTGGCAGCCGCTGCGGTGGAGCCCGGGCCCGGCCAGTAGGAGAAACCGGCGGGCGCCACTCCGGACGAGGCGGCCATGAGGTTAAGTTTGGAGAGGCCGGGGAAGGGCAGGGGCGCGAGGCCGGCGGGCAGCTTGTAGAGCGCACCATCCTGAGCCGCGGCGGCGGCGGCTGCAGCAGCGGCCGCGGCGTGGGCGTGCGCGGGCGGCGGCTGGCAGGCCTGCGCAAGGCCCTGGAAGTCGAAGCGGTAAGCATAGCGCTTGCCGTGCACCTTACTCATGATGTTCTTGTCGTAGTAGTAGCGCAGCGCGCGGCTCAGCTTGTCGTAGTTCATGTTGGGCTTGCTCTTGCGCTCACCCCAGCGTCGTGCCACCTCGTCGGGGTCCGTGAGCTTGAACTCGCCGTGGCCGCCCTCCCATGCGATGCAGCCGGCATTGGCGCGGTCCGCCAACAGCTCTAGCAGAAACTGCCACAGCTGGATCTGCCCGCTGCCTGTGGGGATGGGGGTGGAGAGAGTGGTCATCCACTGGTGGGTCGGAGAAGTTGGAGTGAGGGGCACGGAACAGCTGCCAGGAGCCTGACCCGGTCCAGCGGCAACCGGCAGTAGACAAGACTGACACCTCCATTTGGGTAGCCACAGCTGGAGCAACTGGGTAAGCAGAACCAGCTGTGAGAACTGGGGCAGCGGGTCTCTAAGCCACTTCGCACTTCAGCACCGAGGACACACATTCACTTTTAGCAGGCCACGGGCTCTGGGAGCTCACGCCTTTGTGGGCATTGGGGAAAAGAGAAGCATCATCGTGGACAGCGCTGCACCACCCGTGAGAAGGCGACTCGCTGTCAGCCCCCCTCCCCTGCTGGCATCGGGGTCTGGCCTCGCACCCTTAGTCAGGGCAGGACCTGTCTGTACAGGTGCCTATCCTGTCCCAACCCGGTTAGACCAGGACCACGGGTGCTGAGTACCTGCAATACCCTGGCCACTCTTGGACCAGGACCAGCTTGCCCCAAAGTCACAGGGCTGAACCCAGGGTGGGGTTGGGGGACAGCTTGCCCTTTGCTAGGGTCAGCCAAGCAGAGGAAAATCTTGGCACACTCCCCCTTTACAAACAAATTGAGGTTTCCTTGAAGCTGGCCGACCACTGCTTCAGATCATGCAAACCTCTCTTCTTTTCACAAACCCTTTCCAAAACCAGATGCTGCCCTGCCGCCTGCCCCTGTAAATTTCAACCTTGATTCTGCCCAGGTGGCAACCCAGTGAGAAAATTTAGTTTTAGAATCAGAAGCAAGTGAGAATTCAGACAAAACTGGGCAGCTGGCATCCATGGCTGAGTGACAATGGTGGCTTGGGAAGGCATTCTTATGACACTGTAATTCCTTCTAGATAAAGCAGTCCCCAATCTCAGTCCTTGGGGGTTACTGTAACAGTGAAATGTGGAGTATCTCGGCAAAGGCAGGGGTGCCACCTGTGTTAAGACACTGCCTGGAGACCCAGCTGCCTGCCACTGGGTAATTTAGCCACCTGCAGTGTGCTAGAGGCGAGCCCAGCAATCTACTGCAATTGAGTTGCTGGGCAGTGTGCACACAGGCCAGTGCAGCAGGAAGCACTGGCCAGCATGGGCTGCCCCATGAGGTGGGGAAGGCATTTTCTGGGGGTCTCTTTGCAGCCCCTGCTAGGGCCACACACAATCCTGCTGCTGCCACTGGTAGGGTCAGGAGCCAGTGGCCTCATCTCTGGCCACCTAAGCCTGGAAAACTGAACTTGGCAAAACAAAAGTTGGGGCTACAGTGTACTCTTCACCTGTTCTGGCCTGCCAAGTGGGACTCCACCATCAGCCCAGGACCCTGCACTTCCCTGAGCCCAGGGTGCTCAGCAGCTTGTATCCTCTCTGGTATGGGAGTGCGTGGCCGGGCAACAGTGTCCCCCACCCTGTGGGGTCCCCATCCCTTGCCCTCTGCCCCGCCTCGTCGTGCGTTCCCAGGGTACCACCGGCTCACCTTTCTGCACCGCGGGGCTCAGCGGCCCCCAACCTGGGCTCTTGCCTTCCTTGAAGAGACTTTCTCCCAACGGATCTGATGCAGCAGAATTTAAAAAAAAAAAAAAAAAAGTCAGGTTCACGGAGGGCGAAGGCTACGATTCGGACCAACTGAACCTTCGGCCAAGGCTGTAGGACAGGTGTGCTAGTCCCCAGGCTCGAGCTTGGAGGGGCCCGGTCCCCGGACTCCTCCTCCCGGGAGCCGGCCTCGGAGCGCGCGCTGCGCCGAGCCCCTCAGTAGAGCCCAAGTCAGGAAACGCGTCCAGGAAAGAGGAAATCCGCTTTCCGAAGGGGCCGGCGGTAGCCTTATAAAGCCGAGCGGTTTTCGCGCGAGCCTAGCCGCAGCACGGCGAACCCCACGAGGGGCGAAGAACCGGGTGAAGAACCGGGCGCCTGGAGGGCCGGCTCGGGGCGAAGGCTCGGCGCGCCCAGGTGAGCAGCGGCAAGGGCGCAAGGGCAACGCCCCGCCGACCACGGCCTCCCCGCCCGGCGCAGGAGCCGAGAATCCTCGCCGCTCGCTTCGCCGGGCTCCCTATCCGATCACCTCGAGTCCTTTGGACCCTCCACTTCCCCTCCCATCTCTGTACCCTGCCTGTCCCTTTCCAGCGCCCCCAATGCCCTACATTGGAGTTAGACCTCCCAACAATCCGAGTTTCCAGACCGCTCCCCCTTCCTTCGGACCCCGGCACCCCCTTCCCAAGCCTGAGCCCAGGGTTCCGGCGCCTCCAGCCCCAGGCTGCTCCCTGGTACCTGGCAGGTACATGTTGATCAGCAGGGGCTGGGAGGCGCCGCTCTGTCTCATCGCTGCCAGGGGACTGGGCGGTGGGAGATTGGGGGGTGGGTTGGGGCGGGGGACTGGGGAGCGTCAGACTTTTCGCTCCAGGGCACCGGTCCCCGCCCGAGGCGCGACCGCGGGTGACAAGGAGGGAAAAAAGACGTCGCCGGGTCCAGCCAGGGCCTGGCGGGAGGGGGCAGTCCGGGTGTGGCGGGGTGGGGTGGGATGAGGGAGGAGGTGGCGAGGGCTGATGGAGATGGGGGCGGGGGTCCTGGAGCGGCGCTCGCAGTTCTAGGGGCGCGCTCGGAACCCTCGGGCCCCCGTGCGGGCAGGGGCCGCAATTTCCGTTTTAATTAAAGTGCGGCCGCCTCGGCCCCCCGGACTCCGCCCCCTCCCCTCTTATCGCCCCATCGCAATAAAGTCTCCAGCGCGCCGCGTGGCAGCCAAGCGCACTCGGCAGCCCCCCTCCGCGCGCCCCGCAACCCAGGAGACGCGGGAGATGGCCCCCCTCCCTCCTGGGCCGGGCTGTCTCCAATAGGGGACCAAGGGCGCCTTTATTTTCTGCCTCCTTGATTCTCGGCAAACAGGGACGGGGCGGGGTGTGTGTTTGGGGGTATACCCGGTTCCCCCTTGGACCCCTCTCCGCCAGCGGCCTCTTCCCCACCTGCTCCCGCCCCGTTGCCGTTCCCCCTCCTCCTCCCTCCCCTGCCCCCATCCCATCCGAGCTCCGTCTCCAGGCTGCGTTATCTGCATCTTCACTTTTAAATTTCCGCTTCCCTCCCTCTCGCCTGTCGCTGCGCTCAGGTCCCCGCAGCAGTGGCTCCCTTTATCTCTACCCACCCCCGCGCCTTCGCCCACCTCTCCTCCCGGCTCTCCCATAGAGACTCTAGCCCTGCCTTAAGTCCCCCAGCTTTCTGGCTTTCGCCCCATTTCCCCACTTAGTCCAGCCCCCTAGGCCTCACTCTGGGCAGCTCCCCTGGCAGCTCCCATTTCCTGGTTCTCTGCGTTGCCTTGCTGGGCCTTCCCCTTGGGTCTGGCCTCTGCTCTCCCCAGCTGCCTTCTCTTCCCTGGCCTCTCCCGTTCCTCTCCCTCCCCGCCTCTTCATCTATGACATCTCCACCAGACATCATCCCTGCTGGCTTTTCCTGGTGAGCTCCAATCCCCACCTTCCACCCCACCCTTCTCCCAACCCCATCCTCTCAGCCTTCCTTCCACCCTCCCTACGGCTCCCTGACTGTTATCCCTCAGCGCTGAAGCACCGGGACAAGTTGTGTATGGTTACAAAGCTGAAGGCCCACTCCAAGAAAATGGCACCTTATCTTGTTTTAAACATTCGTTTGAAATTCAGAGAGATGCGAGGAGAGAGATCTTCCAACTGGCTCTGATCTTCCAGATGGCTCTGATGGCCAGGGCTGGGCCAGGCCAAAGGCAGGAGCTTCATCCCAGTCTCCTAAATGGGTGGCAGGGGTCCACACTTGGGCCATTCTCCACTGCTGTCCCAGGCGCATTTGCAAAAGCTGAATTGGAAGAGCAGCTGGCAGCTGCTACAGCACAAGGCCAGCTGCACCTTTTTCTAACTCTTGTGGAGATGCCCAGGTGGCTGCTCTGAGCTCTGGAGTCCCTGGGTCCCTGGGGGACTTCTGGGAGGAGCAGGTTAAGAAGGGGCACTGGCTGACCAAAACCCCCATGGCCAGGGGCAGCTGTCACAATCCATGTTCTCCAGGCCTCAGTCTTTACTGCTTGAGCCCAGGGACTGGAGAAGCCTGAGAGTAAGCAGGGTCCAAGGGTGCCCAAGGGAGGCTGGGGCAACCCCCCAACCCATCCATCCTTGTGTGCAGTAGCTGCTGAAGTGCTTATGGCGGGGTGGAAGGTGCATAGGGCCAGAGAGGATCATGAAGTGGGGTAGTGGCAGGGAGGAATGGAGGATCCCAGACCCCAGAGAGTCTGAGAGCAGCTGGGAATGGGGTGGCTGCCAGGTCTGGACATGGAAGCCAACAGGCCAGGCTGTACCTTGGGGACCAAACTCAGGGCTATGCCAGAGGGGAGGATCTTGAAGGTGGGGCTGGAATGCCAATCCTTCTGATGCCCTTTTATCCCTCCCAAACCTCTATGGACGGAAAAACGAAAGGAGCAGAGTGTCAGAGCTGGGGGAGCCACGTGGGAGAGTCCATGGAGTGCTCTCTCAGCAGGAGGGAGAGGCCTAAGGATAATTTCCCAGAGAGAGGGTCCTCCCAGATGTCCAGCAATCCAGGCTTGGTGCTCTCCTACCCCCACCAGAGCTAGGTGCTCAAGGGGTGGGGATGCTGGGGAAGTTGGAGTGTGGGGAGGGTATCCTGCCAGGGTGGAAGAGGCCCATAGATGAAGTTTCTCCCTCATCCCCTCTGGCCTGGCTGGGTGCTGCCCCCTTAGTATCCCGCAGGCAACCCTGGTCCAGTCCAGAAAGGCTGGAGGGGCAGGAGGACTTGAGGTGAGAATTCTCACTGCCAGCCTGGCCTCTGCGACCCACTCTCCTTCCAGCTGCTGATAGGTGTGGCGGGCACAGCCTGAACCACCCCTTCCCCGATCTAGGAAGCGGTCGGTCGTGGTGGCCAGGGCTGCAGCACCCCAACTCTTTCATTGTACTGATGGGGAAACTAAGGTTCTGAGACCCCCGACCCACCAGGAGCCATGCTACCACACTGCCTGAAGCCATCTTTGCAGACCTCTCCTGGAGACCACAGACCCACCTGGTGGGACAGGCACCAGATCTCCATTCATTGCCTTATCATTTCAAAGCAGGCAACTGAGACACAGGCTGCTGGACTCCTTTGGGATCTGAGTTCAGCGATGTCTTAGTTGTGAAAATTTGTTGTTGGGGGGTAGAGGTATACATAACCTCTGACTTTTGTCTCCTTGCCTGTGAAACAGGGAGGCTGGGACCCCCCCAACATCCAGCATTCCGAGCTTTACTGAAGCAAACACATAAAGGGATTGGACAGGTCCTCTAGGTCAAGCTCTGGTCATGATCACCCTTCCCCAGGGAACAGGAAAGAGCCAATGCCCAGCCAGGAACCTCGGAAAAGCTGGGGCTCTGCTGAAGCTTGAGGCTTTAGTTACAGTTCCAGTCTGCTCTGCTTAGCCTGGACTTGGGGGTCGGGGCCCTGTGTTCAGATTCTGTCTCTTGCCAGCAGTGCTCCTACTTCCTGGAGCCCTGATGGAGAACTGAGTGGTAGTGGTAGGAGGGTATATGAGGAGGACCAAAACCATCAGGGTCTGTGAACTCAGAGTCTATTAAAGTGCAGAATTGGTACCCCACTTAAAGATCTAACTCTATGATCTATGGAGAGGGGGACAGGTTGTGATATGGATGGACCGGAAAAGAGCGTGGTGATGGGGAGACCCTACACTGACCTTCCTTGGCACTGACCTTCCCTGGCACTAGAAGCACCAGAGGTCCCTTGCAGCAATCTTGTGAGATAATACAGGTGCTCAATCCCACCAAAGAGGGCATGGAGGCTCCGAGGTGCCAGGCGGTGGGATACCTGGTCCAACCCAAGGGTTCTTCTCAAAAGAACACATTCTCAACTTCACACAGCTGGACCCTGGGGCAACTGCCCAGGTTAGTTTTGACAACTCTCCAAATTCTGGAAAACTTTTTTAACCTATGCTAGGGCAATCTGGACAATTCATGCCCACCCTGGAGACTTGAAAGTAGCCCTGAAGGACAAGAGAACTGGAATCCCAGGGGTCTTAGAAGACTCTGCCTATGGAGCACCAAGGAGATCTTTAAATGGGCTAAGGAAGAAACCAAGAAAAATGCACCCTGATGCCAGTGCCAGGGCGCCAGGCTGCTGCTGTATACCTTGTGACCTTCAGCCACCACTTGCCCCTTAACCCAGTGGCTGGAGCAGGGGAGTGACCCCTTTGGCATCTGAACCCTCTAAAGCAGAGGGAGAGAGCAAGAAGGCTCAATATACCGCTGCTGCGGGTGCTGGAGTTCAAGACCCATGCAGGGGACTGCATTTAGAAGGCTCTGCGGACTGGGTTCACAGAAAGGAAGTCTCCCAGATAGGAGACTCTGGGAGGCAGTGGGACCACCCACTAATTCTTCTGAGAATGGAGAGGCCTCCTTGGTTGGGGGGGGGAGGGTGGTGGAGAGTGAGACTGGGAGTTAGAAGCCTAAAAGAACAGGGGTTAGAAAATTCCATCCTTCTTGACAGCCCCCGGCCCCTGGATTCGTGGCTGTTGAAATCCACCTCTGTGCCCTGGTCCAGGGCTGTCTGTCTTACCGGGAGGAAGGCAGAGATGCCATCTGTGCTAACAGTACCCAGGGTCCCAGCTGGTCTTTACCAAGAACTGAGGTGGCTAATTATCCTTCACAAGATCTGTGGGATCCTTCCCAACCCCACCAGCTCCCGCCCAGGCCTGCTTATGCCTGAGTCACAGGTCCTGGAACCTGAGGCAAGGGTCTGATTGGTTCAGAGAGGGCCCTCAGAAGATGATGATGACACACCACAAAATGAGGGGCAGGTAGGTTTGGAAGTCTTTATTGAGGATCCCTAAGGCAGGTGGCATCTGTGGCTGGCCAACCTAGTGCTGGACTCTCCGGATGGACTGCAGCTGTCCTGTGTGGGCTTGCGTGCCGAACTCGCCATAGTTCCGGAACTCGCCGCTGTGCCGGTCCCGCTCCAGTATGTACTGGTAACCCCGGTAGCCAGGATACTGGTAGGCCACCCAACTAGGGGCCAGGGATTGCATAGGGGTGGTGAGTAGGCCCCCACATCCCTCTACTCTCCCTGACTCAGCTGCCAAATCCCAGCTTCCACACCCCATAGGTGGATCTCTCTCTAGCCTACCCACTGCTCCATCTTCCTGCCACCTGCCTCATCTCGGGTCCCCTCTTCACCCTCCCCTGCTTTTTAGTGCCTTTCTCTGCCCCCCACTCTTCCTCCCCGCACCCATTCCTTTTCTTCCTTCCTACCCAGTCTGCCTTGCTTTAGATTCCAAATCCCCAGCCCCTCTCTTTACTCTGTCCTTTGGCTCCACACACCATGGCTTCCAAACTCCTCCCACCTCCCAGGTTCCAGGTCCAGTACTCACGCTCCAGAGCTGACTTTGAGGGAGCCCACCTCCTTACTGGCCCATCCCATGGAGGGTAGGGATGGGTAATCATCGCTGAGTTCGAACTTGCAGCCTTGGAAGTTCTCCCCTTCAAACAGTGTCACGCGACTGTCACTGTGGTTCTGTGACACAGGAAGGTTTGTTGAGGGGGGGAGGCGAAGCAGGGATGCCCCACAAAAGTGTGTTGGTGGCCCCACCCTTGGGTCTGTTCTCCCACCCAACTGCCCCCAGAAGCTGTGCAGCCATTTGGGCCCCTCAAGCACCCAGGAGCTTACCCTCTGCTACCTGACAGTTGGGAAACTCAGAGGTATTTGGGCTGAGACGATAAGAGTAGGGAATGAGGGAGTAAGGAGTGGGACAAGGGTGGCAGTGGAGGGGGGTTCTGATTTTCAGGACAGAGCTAGAGGGCATCTTGTGGCATGGGACTGTTTTGCAAGAGGAAAATCAGGTCTAGAGAGAAACCATTAACCAGGAGTTTTCTTAAGGGCCTTAGTAACCATCCAGCCCCTGCCCAGCACCCAGGGCAGGATGTCTCCCAGGCTAGAGCCAAGGGGTGTGGGATGCTGGGTGGTCAGGGCCTAAGTCCTAGCTGCTTGTTAGCTTCCCCAGCCCCAGCTTCCCTTTCAGGGTTCCTCTGCCTCGTGAAATGGAAACACTGGGCTGGGCTGGGCTGGGCTGGATCTTCTGCTGTGCACCCCAGGCCTCATCTGTACCAAACTTTACATGAACAGAATATGTGAATCTTCTCTTCTGTGTCTTTTATTCATTACTACCTCCAACACACACACACACACACACACACGCCCTATTCTCAGCCTTCATCCTGTGCTCAGTTCTAGTCCACATATTAACTCTTGTTATCCTGCCGGTGTCTTTGTACCTGTATTAACAGCAGCTGCCCAGCCTCACCTAGGACCTCAGAGCTGTCCGCGGTGCTGATATCAGCGTACTTCGCCCACACCTTCAACGCTAACTTTTGGAGACCCTTTCAGGACGCTAGGAGCCAGGCGTAACTGCCCATCCAGGAGGAGTTTGTTTACACTCTCCGGGGCAGAGGGCGATGGGCCAGGGCTGGGGGCTAGGAGACCAAGGAGGAAAGGGAATGAATTGTGCTCACTGCGCAGAGCACCGGCCTGAAGGACAGCAGCTGGTTGCTGTGATGGCCGCTGCTGCCGCTCCAGGCGCTCCAGCGCGGGTAGTCTCCCTTCTCCAGGATGAACTGCTGTCCCTGGCAGTCGGGGTACTCGAAGGCTACCCAACTGCAAGAGGAGACAGGAAGCTGAGCAGCATCTGCTCCAGCCGCCCCCCTGTGTTCAGCCCAGTATTTTCCTCAAAACGCAGCGCTTTTGTTGACGTGCCCGGTGTTTGGCAGTCCCATCCTCCTGGAGGGCCCACTGTGGCGGCTGCTGTTCCGGCTGCGACCTCGAGGAGCCCCATCTTTGCACTCCAGGCACCCCTCCACACACACGTACAGCGCAGATGGGAAGGAACTTTACAGGCTAGAAAAATCGCTCTACTGAGCGCTCCTACCACAAAGGTTAAGGCGCGCGAAGGAGGGAGGTTTGCCATCGCTGCCTGCTGTCTACCTTCGCACAGAGAAGAGCTTGGAAAGGATCATAATTGCATTGGAAACCCCTTGGGACCCAGGTCCCAGTTTGCTCCACGGGGACCAGAAGGCGTCTCCCTCGGGGCACCCCAGGCTGAAGGGCACCAAACTGGCGCCTGAGGAGCCAGCAGCCTCGCACCCTCCTCTCCCGCCACGCCACGGCCGAGTCACCACTCACGCGCCGTTTTCCACCTTGACGGAGCGCACCCTGCGCAACCCTCCGCGCTCGCCCACGTTCGTGCAGTCGCTCAGCAGCCGGCAGCGGCGGCCCTGGAAGTCCTCCTCCTCCCACAGGGTGAGGCAGGCGGGCGCGGGACCCGGCGTGGAGGCGCTGCTCATGGCACTGCGCACAGAAAGAGCGTGGATACTCCGTCAGCGTCTCGCCTGCAACTCTCTTCTCAAGGAGGGAGCGGGGTATGGGATCTGGGCTGCTCAGGGACTCCCCCTCATCCCACCCTTCCCTTCCAGGGTGCAGAACCGGGTAGTCACCGGGTGGGTGAGCGCGGCGCACCAGGAAAACGGAGAGGCTGCGCGCGGGTTGGCCGTGCGGAGCTTTATATGTAGGCCTGGCCTGGCGTCCCGTACCCTCTCCCGCTGGCCCGGGGTGGGGGTACCCCCGGAGGTAGCTGAGTCAGCGGATGGACTGCAGTCTGCTCTGGCTCCCGGCGGCTGAGCCCTTTCCCCAGGCCGCCGATCTGGCCCCAGCGCGTGGGAATTACAACGGAAAGTGCTGAGCCACGCGTCCAGCGCCCGTCCAGGCCCTGGCTGACTCGGCGCTTTCTTTTTTTCTTTCTTTGGTGCCTGAGCCTTGCAGGGCAAGCAGGGCTTCGGGGTGCAGGCCGGCCCCTCCCTGGCCAAGACCGGAGCTCCGATGCTCGCTTGCGGCCTCTTGCTAAGACTGCGCGTCCCCCAAAGATTTTCCCAGGGTTAGCTAAGCTCCACCCATCACTTGTGCAGCCCCAAGTGGAGGCCTTTCTTCCAGCCGGGGTAGAAGAGGTCATCCACCTTCGGCCGCCGCCTCGCCACACCCTCCTAGCCTCCTTTCCTCCCGCAGGAGCGATCCAGCGTCGACCCCTTCCTCCCAAGGCTGCATTCCCAGAGCTTGCGCGGGATTCCGGGATTCCCCCGCGCCCTGGAGTCGAGAGGAGGCAGTAAGCAGGTCTCGCCACGTGGCGGCGTCACGAAGGAGAGCATGGCGGGAGCAGAGCAGGTGGAAGGAACGGAAACCAGGTCCAAGGCCGAGGCTCCCTGCACGACGGATCCACTTCGGCTCCACCCTGGACCCAAGACGCTGCCAGGTCCCTAGCTCACATACCTTAGCGCCGGGGTGCCGGGGGGGGGGGGGGCCCAGGTCCGCCTGCTCAAGCTCTCGCTTGCCCCAGCTCGACTCATTCTAACAATCGACTGGTGCACCAGGCGCCAGGCATCAGCATTGTGTCTGCCCTGTCAGAAACGAAAACTCTGGAATATTTTGCAACGTGGTGTAAGTGTCACCACCAACAAGTGGTCGAGCTGGGCTACTGTTAAAAGGTCTTGGACTCTCCCCGCTCTCCCAATCCCCAGGCTAGGGATGAGGAGCAGGAGAAAGAAGGGGAGGAGAAAGAAGAAAAGGAAGGCTTAGAGATCCAGGGAGTTGTGGCCAAAAGGAAATGCCCTCAGCATTTAAAGAAATAATTATCGGAAAAACAGATTTACAGAGAAAAGAGACAAAGAAGGATTTTCTATCCACTGATTTACTCCCCACATTGCCACACAGCCGGAGCTGAGCCAATCCAAAGCCAGGAGCTTCTTCCAGCTTTCCCACACAGGTACAGGGTCCCAAGGCTTTGGGCTATCCTTGGCTGCTTTCTCAGACCATAAGCAGGGACCTGAAAGGAAAATTGAACAGCCAGGACACAAATCAGCACCCATAGGGATCCCGGCGTTTGCAAGCTAAAGATTAAGTTTATCCAGTTAAGCTATCATGCTGGCCCTTGGACTCAGCATTTGCAACAGGATTTCCTAACCCTTGTAGATATCCAGAGACACAAAGGCTTCTTGTAAAACTGTGAGTTTTCCTTCATGGTGGAGAGTGGGGTGGGGGCTGGGGCATGTATTCTAGCAGAACTGAGAGGGCAGAGAAGGGAGTTCGTGTTTGGTTTCTTCCCTGAGCCAGGCCAATGAGTAGATACAGAAGCAGGGCCTTGTTCAAACACAGGGCTAGACAAATTTCAGCAAGGGCAGAACTCAGACCTTCCAGCCAGGGTCTGACATTGCCCATCTGAAAGGGCTCTTAGGCCAGCTCTAAGCAGCTCAGCAGGGCCAGCCAGGCCTGCTTGCTGGCCAGGCTTTCCACACAGGTTCCAATTACCTGCAGTGTGGCAATCACAAGAGTTAGGCAGGCTGGCCCCTCCTAGGTCACTTCCTGGAATGCTGCCACTACATACCCCACTGACCTATTCTATGATGCCTCGCATTGGGGCCACGCTGCAATGGCCTCTCCATCTCTTGGTGAAATACATCTAAATTGCTCTCTTTTACACTAGTGTTAGCTCCATGTCAAGGGACAGGGGCTGCCTCTGTTTCTGTCTCTATTTGCCCTCAAGCCTGGCACCAAGCTGGGTATACTGCACACACTCAATAAAACTTTTCGAGTGGCCTAACAAGGTGGTCATATATGCGCCAAATGTTGGCAGGGAATGGGTGCACAGGAGTGTCTCTAGGGGTGGAGGACCTTGAGGTAACGTCCCTGCCGTCCCCTCCAGCCCTGAAGTTCTGGCCTGCTGAGAACAGCTACCGCAGGGCAAAGGCTCGAGCTCCCACATGGTCAGGAGGAAATGGCCCAAAACTGGCCAGTGCTGTGCATCTGCCTCACAGGGATTTGAACAAACACAAATAGAGCATTGTTTCTCCCCACATCACAAGAGCAGAATCCGATGAGCGCCCCTATCCTGGATTTCACAATCGGGGCTATGGCGGCTAGGAGGAGTTCAATCCCAGCTTCCCTCCATTCTTTCTCCACATCCTCATCTCTCAGTGGCACATGGTAGCCACCAGGGGGAGCGAGCAGGCCGGGCTGGCCAGAGGTTGAGGCGGGTGGAAGTTTGGCGGCCAGTGGGAGGCTGGGGTGGGCGCGGGAGCAAATGCGTCGGGCTGTGTGTCTGCGCGCCTGTGAGGCGGACCCCGTGGGTTATCCCTGAGGTGTGTGTGTGTGTGTGTGTGTGTGTGTGTGTGTGTGTGTGTGTGTGTGTGTGTGTGTGTGTGTGTGCTCATCCGGCTCTGGAGCTGGCCACGTGCTGCTCAGAAGGCCGTGTTCCCTTGGGAGGCGTGTGTGGCGGGGTGTGTATATGTGGAAGGGGGGAGTGAGTGGGTGTGGGTGGGGATGGGTTTGTGTGTGAGGCGGTGTGTGTGTGGATGTGGGGTGTGTGTGGGTTTGTGTGTGTGAGATGTCTGTGGTGGATGGAGACTAGAGGGTGCTATGTGGTGTGGGGTGGGGGGAGGGCTTCAGCTTCCAGGGTTCCATGTTAGAACCGAGTCCCGCTGGGATTTAGATGAGGATCCCACGGATGAGAGAAGGCCCGCTTCCCAGTCCCGGTCGTAGGTTCTGATCCAGGCACCAGATGGCCCCTCCCTTTTTCCATGCCCTCATTTCCTCCCCACAAGAAGGGCCCTCACCCAGGCGTTCAGTTCCAGCTGCTGGAGCCCAGCTCTTGTCCGTGGGCACACCCTTGACGTTCTCTCACATGCGGGCTCAAAGTCACCCTGAAAGGGAAGACAGAGGCCCTGAGGGGAAGGGGCCCCTGGTGGAGCCGGCTAGATCCCCAGGGTGACGGGGGCCCCTGCCTGAGTTTCAGGCTGCTGCTGTTCCTCCACCCCACCCACCCTGGCTGGTGCAGCTCAGCCCGGCTTCCCCTTCATCCCCACCCCGTGGCTCCCTCCCACCCCCGGCAGCTGTTCCTGTTTGTTTTCCCAGATCAGTGGCGCTCAGAAGCTTCCGGAAGGATGGATGCCCAGGTGGCTTTGTTTGCCGGCTCAGCACTGTCACCCCCACCCCCTCCACATGACGGTCCCGCTTCCAGGCACGGGGCTGCAAGTTAGGTGGACACACACACACACACCATCTCCTGATGTCCACCTAAAAGAGCCTGATGATCACTCCGGGATTTTATCATGTTCAGAGAACCCCAACCCTGACCTCATACAACTCTGCACATCTTCAAGGGGACGTGAGCACCTTCAGAGACAGACTCAGGACCTCGTCCTGCCCTCTGCCCCTTCTCCCAGGGTTTCTCCAAAATATGCATCCCATGCACACCTGTAAGATCCCACAGAGCAACCCTCCCCCTCTTCAGCTGAGAGTTCTGGGGAGGCTTCTCAGATCCCAGGCTGACCCTTCCCCTATGGGGACACAGATCCTACACAGAAAGACCCCACCCAATCATCTGGGACCCCTTGACTCTATGGCAGGCACAGCCTCCTAGGATCCCCTCCCCCTCACACACCCTCCCCTCACCATAGGAGCCCCCTGTCCTTATCAGTACCCTGCTTTTCGATACCATTGGGCAACTCAGAGGGGCTGCTGGCCAATGCCCTGGTTGCCTGTCAGTCCCCTCCCCCTCATTTTCCTGGGAAATCATGCAGGGCTTTGGCGACTCCAGATGCAAATGCCATGCATGGTGCCTTCCTCCACCCTGGCACCATCAGTGGGCCTCCTGCATCCCCACCCCCATGCCAGGTCTGCAACGGGCAGATGAGCACTTCCCCTGGGGGCAGTGGGTGCTGGGCTGGTCTCCTGGGAAACAGAGATAACTCCTGGCAGAGACCAGCCTGACGCAGGCAGGCCAGGGACAGCGCCCCGCCCACCAGCACAATCTCCTGCCTGCTGAAAACAGCAGGGTCCCTCTTGCCTGCTGCTTGCTCAGTGGGACTGGAGAACTGGCCAGTGTCCAGGGCTTGTTGCCACTCAATCCCTGGGACACAAAGGCCCTGGGCTTGCAAGAGCATAGAGAGGAGGCACTGGTACACAGATGTTCTATCAGCTGGAAGCTGTCACTTACAGCTGCAGGCAGACAGGAACCATCCCACACACTACACACCTGCCAGTCTGCTTTTGGGGTTCAGTATACGCCTCCATCTCCTCCCTCCTTTAGGGGCAGATAGCACCTCACTTTTTCCTCCTGATATATTCTGTGCTACACACCATGTGTTATGTGTGCATTGGGCCCATGCACGAGCGAGCTTGTGGGTTCTGCCTTTATAAATTGGATGAACTAGCTTTTAAACATTTTTAAATTTATTTGAAAGGCAGAGTTACAGAGAGAGGGAGAGATATCTCCCATCTACTGGTTCGCTCCCTCTAATGGCCACAACAGCCTGAGCTGGGCCAGGCTGAAGCCAGGAACCTGGAGCTTCATTTGGGTTTCCCACATGGATGGCAAGGGCCTAAGTACGTGTGTCATCCTCTGAGGCTTTCCCAGGTACCAAAAAGGATTGTGGATTGGCAGCACAACAATCTGGACTCTAAATGCCAGTATTGCAGGCAGTGGCTTAACTTTGCTGTACCACAATATCTGCTCCATGGCTATTACTGTTGTGGCTATTTTTCTTTTCTTTCTTTCTTTTTGAAAGGCACAGTAACACACAGAAATAAAAGGATGGAGGAGGGATGTGCACAAGGGCGAATGAGCTTCCATCTGCTGGTTCACTGCTCAAATGGTCATCATGGCCAGGGCTGGGTTAGGTCTAAAGCTCCATCCCAATCTCCCTTTTAGATGGCAGGAGCTCCAAGAGGTTCAAACATGCTCCTGCCGCCTCTGATGCATTGGCGGGGAGCTGGATGAGTAGCAGGGACTCAAACCACTGCTCTCCTATGTGGTACATGTTGCTGTGCTGCATGCTGGCCCCCTTCCTTTTTATATATGAGAGATGGAGACCCTCTCCTATGGCTCCCCTGCCAAAATACCCACCAATACTCCCCCTTCTCAAGTACTGGGTTGGGTCAGGCAGAACTCAGTCCAGGTTTTTCCCATGGGTGACAAGGGCTCAAATATTTGGATACCTGTCTGGGCCTCCTAGGTATACAACAGCCAAGAAGCTGGAATCTCTGATCCCCATGACCTGCCCCCTACCCACCTCCCTCAACCCCATGGGGGATGTGGGTGTGTTAATTGCTGGGCACAATGACCATCCATGGCTGTGTTTTTAACTGACTTTGTTATACTGTTCTGTCCAACACCCCTAGGGCAAGACTGGCCTGGCCCGGTGGAGTGCCCAAGGCAACAAGTATAGCCCACTCTGGCTGAGCGCTGGGTGACATGATGCCACTCTGCTCCAGCTTGGTAAGATCTGGGCAGAGGGGTAAGAGGTGTAACCCAGGCTTGTTCTTGCCCAGGAAGGCCTGTGTTTGGGGATACAGCCGAGGCCTGGTTTCTGACAGTGTTGGTCCTGGCACCCTATTTGGCCATTGGCCAGTTGCTTTCCCTCTTGGCAGGGGGTGAGGGGAGGGAAGAGGGTCTCAGCTGTGTTCTGGGACCCTGGGGTGCCTTGGGCAGGGCTCCCACTGCTTGCCACACTGACTCTGCCAGCACCGCCTCCGCCACCCCCTGGCCTAGCCAGAGTGAGGGGCGAGTTGCCGCGTCTCCATGGGGACTAATCTCCAAGAAGGTCAGCGAGGCTGTGGTGCTGCCTTGGCCGGATGGGGATTAGCACCTGGGGTTGAGGCCCCCTTCCAGCCTCCGCACTTTCACACGGACCCTGGATGGCCTCCAAGCCCAGCCTGGCCAAGGCTGGGCTGAGTGGGTGGAGGCAGCGCAGCAGGCACAGCACTTGGGTTGTCCAGCCTTGACCACGAGGGAAAGGACAAGGGGGAGAGGTGGGGTCCGATCTCTGCACCTCCCTTGCCCTTTTGCACCTGTCTTCTGATGGGGAAGAGGAAAAGGATCTCTCATGACAGGGGATCACTGCCCCCTCCCCCTCTCCCAGTCCTGGCTGTCCCCCATTCGCTACCTACTTAGGAGCCAAGAGCCGCCTCTGTATCCTCTGCTGAGGTGATCTCCTGCCCCTGGTGGGGTAGGACTAGTTCCTCAGTTTACCCTTCCTCCACATGCCTGAGCCTCCTCCCTCTGGCTGCCCGGTCTGCCTTTCTGCAGTTCCCTTTTCCCTGTTCTCTTGGGGTGGTGGGGTGGGGGGAGGAAAAGAGGGGTCCCTCTTCCCTGGCTTCTCTCCAGTTTCTCCTGGTGGCCTCCTGGGATGGGGGTTCTTGGGCTTTCCCACTGCCCTCACCCTCACCCCATGGCTCTGGCCTGCACATCTGTCTGCCCAGGGTGTCCTTCTGCCCTCTGGCCCAGCCTCTTTCCCCTCTTCCTCCCTCCCCACTTCTCCGTGCCTGCTGCCCTCCACCTGCTCCAACCCTTTTTCCATTTCCCCCCTACCTACTCCCTCCCCCCACCCAGGGTGCTGACAGGGACGACAGGAAGCAGGCGGGAGGGGGAGGGGAGCTCCTCGCCCAGCAGCTGCTGAGCACCCCTATCCAGCCCAGCACCTGCAGGCCTGCCAGGCACCCAAGAGACTCCGCCCCTGCAGGGAGGGGGCCTGGGGGGAGAGGGGGCAGAAAGGCCAGATCTCTGGATAATTGGCCAGGAAATGTGGGCCTAGGGGCTGGGTGGGGGCTGAGGAGATCAGGCCCTGAGGGGGAAGGGGCCTTGTTTCTCTGCTGCAGGGACAGACCCCAGCTCCATTGCTGCCTTTAGTCTTCCCTTTGTCCCTCCCTCTGAGGGCCTGTCTGTGGTGTGTGTGTGTGGTGAGGGTCAGCAGATCTCATCCCCGCCAGGACCAGAAACCTGGTGGGGGAGGCCAGGCTGGGGCTGCACATGCCTTCCTGCCCCTCTGTCCATCCCTGCTCCCTGCTGGGAGCCCACAGGTCTGCCCTGGTCCTGGGGCAGTCCACTCTCCCCAGACCTGCCTGGCATCTGTCAGACCCCATCTCAACCCCTCCCTTTTCTCCAGGCTAGGGACTTAGCCCATCCCTGGGGCCTCTGGGCAGGGGTGAGGCAGCCTTGGAGGGGAGCTAGGGGAGCAAGAGCAGCAGAGTGAGTGGTAACAGAGGGGCAACAGGTCAGCACCCCCAAGAACATTTAATTTCAAGGCATGTTTACTTGTTCCTGTCCCCCCCCCCCCGGGGGCTGCCGCAGCCTGGTTGTGGATCGGGGAGGCATAGGTACCCACCAAGCTCCCCCACCCAAGGAAGAAAACCTGGGGATTTTCTTGGTGTCTAATGAGTCTTCCTCCAGCCCGGGCCTAGATGGGCCCCTCACTCGGGCTAGCTCAGCATCCCTACTTTTTTGTTTGTTTTTAGAAGACTGTCACCCAGCTCAGGCTCTGCCTACTTCAGGGCTTACATGGAACCCGCCCCCCCCCATTTTGGGCTCTCCAAGCAGGAGGCCAGTGAGCTTTGGGGGGAGTGTGGTGCACCCCTATGTCCTCCTCTGCCACAGCAGATCTACGCTTGGGTCACTGGATGGCAGGGTTTGGGGGTGACCAGGAGGAATTTGTCCCTGCTGGGTTGTGCCTTCAATATTCTTAGCCTCCTACGCAGCAGGAGGGGGTAGGTGGGTGCACCCCCCTAGGCAGCCCCAGCTGACTCAACATGGGGTCATGGAGTTTGGGAAAGGGGGTGAGAGGCTATGCCTGGTACCCTGTGTTTGTCATTGTCGATCAGTCAGTTGGGGACCAAAGAAGGCGGCAGGGAGTGAATACCCAGGATGCTGGCAGCAGCACCCAAAAGTTGGGAGGAGTGAATTTGGGGTTGGCCCTATCTGGATTTTCCACACCTCCCAGCTGGAGCTCCAAGCCCTCTGGGGAACTTCCCAGCGTGGCTAGGAGCCCAGGAACCAGGATATGAATCTGGGCAGGCCCTGGCCCTCCAGGAGGCCAGATCCCCTGGGGCCAGGAGGTGACTAAAGTGTCCTGAGACAGAGCCCGACTAGAACCAAGTATGGACACTCCCTCTCCACACTCCAGCGGTTCCTTCCTGTTTCTCTCCGGCCCCCAGCCTCCCCCCCAGCCCCCCTCATCCACACTGCCATCCGGTATCATCCAGGTTCCAGCCAGGCAGCGAGGGAACTGCAGGTCTGATGGCAGCGACCGGATCTCCCCCTGAGAGCGGCCACAGCTTCCCCAACCCAGATGGTGGCGGCGGCGGTGGCAGGTGCCTGCGTGGCGACGGGCCCGTGGACGAGTGCCGAGAGGCCGCCCCTGCCTCACGCGAGCCGAACGAACAAAACGCTCAGATCCGGTTTGTGCGAGGGGCTCGTCGCGGGGCGGGAGCGGACGGCCCGGGTGGGGGTACCCGGCAAGGGCCCCCATCGGCGATCTCCGGGTGCTGGATCTTCCGCGAGCGAGCGCAGTCCGCTGGGCGCTCCGCTATGCCTCCGCCCTCACCTGGTGCGCCGGTGAGGCTGACACGTCGGCGGCCGCCGCAGGTGCGCTCGGGGCCCGCCCCTGCCTCCGGGACGCCCTCCACCCGGCCTTCCCGCCTCCCTGCGCCCTCGCCGGGCCCTGTTTGGCTCGGTCCCCAGCCCACGCCCCGGAGTTTGTGCCGGAGCCGGGCTCAGCGCACCCTTATACGGCCGGCTCAGTCTCCGCCCCTAAACACACACACACACTCACTCACACACACTCACACCTGTCCGGGCGCCCGTTTGCTCGGGGCAAATATTGACTCCAGGAGGCGGAGCGCCCCCTTCCCCCCTCCCCTCCTCGCTCAGGCACTGCGACCGAGGCCTTGGCAGCGGGGGCTGGAGGGGAGGGTGCTGGGGACCTGGGCGCCTCTGGAATAACACCAGATGTCACTTTTCCACCCACCTGCGGGGCGGGGGAGGGGGTGGGGAGGAGCCGAGCACAGAGGCTGCCGGGTGTCCTAGGCTAAGAGGGATCCGCATCACCGCGGGAGCCGCGCAGACTGGGTAGTGTGGCCAGCTGTCCATTGGCGACTTCGACCCCCGCCCCTCAGACGGCTCCCCACCTCCACCCCACACCTGGTTCCTGGCCACCACTATATGCCTCACTTTCCCTTCCTTCCCAACCGCTTAACACAAGTTCTGGGAGCCGAATGCATGTTGCAAGGCAGGCCCGGCAGGTGCAGGGGACCCGGTGGGAGTGCGCGCCTTCCCCGCTGGCCCCACCGGGCGCTCTGTTCCTGTTCTCCAGGCCACGCGGAGGCAAAAGCCTCCAGGCCGCTCCGGGAGCGTCCCCCAGCGGCAAGGCTGGGCCCAGGGCCGGGCAGCGGAGCGGCGACAACTCTCACTCAGGGGCGCGGTGGAGAGGCGCCTCATCCTACCAGTCCTGTCTGGTAGCTGGCGGCCACGCCGTCGGCCCTGGTCCTTCCCACGACCCGGCACGCTCAGAGCCCACGCGCACTTCCCCACGTGGGAGCAATAAAGGACAAGAAGATACAGAGGGCCAAGCTGAACGCTTTACTTAGGGCTGGAGAGCACCTAGGACGGCAGCTCGGAGGGGCCGGCATTGCACACAGGCACGGAGTCCGTAGGAGGTGGCGCCCCCTGGCGTGGACCCTCCGTTTTCTGCATCGGCAACACCTGTTCCGGGTTCAGCAACCTGCGAGCCAGAAAAGCCCCAGCTAGCAGTGCCGGTGCGTGTGTGTGTGAGGTGTGTGTGTGTGCGGGGGGGTGCTCTAGACAGAGCCTGCCCCTCGCGTCCCTCCCGCTCCAGGTGCGCAGCGGGCTCCACCTGGGCGCGCTGAACGGCGGCAGGGCGATGATGCGCGGCCGCGAGGTGAGCACCACTTCTCCGCGGCTCGCCTCCACCAGCACGTTCAGGATCATGTTCTCCAGGAGCGCCTCCTGTAGGTTGGCGAAGGCCTGCAGCCTGGCAGAGACCGCGTGCCCGCGTCAGCCTCCTCCCTTGGGAGGCTTCTGCCCCCATATTCTCCGCCGGTGCAGTGTCCACGTGTTTCTACTTTGCTTCTCACCTCACCCACCCACACCTCCAACACTGTGTGGGTCAACCTTGCTCCGATTGGACAAACGCTTCAAAATTTGGTTGAAAATGCCCAATCACCTGCTGGTGAAAGGCAGATGGGATGCAAACCCGAGCCAACTGTAGGCCCAGCTCCACGTGGGGCTAGGTCTGGAGCAAAGGAAGGGCTGAGAGGCTGCGCAGGGAGCTTGGGAATAAAAGTCAAAATGTATCCACCGTGCAACCTCACCACCCCACAGGCAGGGGAGAGTGCAGACAGCAGCTGCTGTGCTTCTGGCTCTAGAAACCCTCCGGAGTTGTCTGTGAAAACGAAAGACTGTCTAGGTAGTGGCACGGGGTGGCGCCAGGGGTCGACTCCCACCAAGGCCTCAAGCTACTAACATGAGGTCACTGAATGCTGAGTAGGGGAAGAGACCCATACATGCAGCCTCCACACTCTGCTCCCGGAAACCCACAGTCAGCCCTATGCTGACCCCCACCGTGGACCTGGTTCACTTGCCCATAATCCCTGCTGACCCTAGCCCCAGGCCTGGCTCTCACCTGCTGATGGCCTCCTTCTCATCCCGCTCTTGCTCCTCTTTCAGGATGAGCTTCAAGTCCTGCTGCATGGACTCGGGCTGCTGCGCAGGCTCGTTCTCCAGGGATGTCAAATTCTCTTCCTCCATCTCCTCCTCTATGCCCTCTTTGCTTAACTCCTCCTCCCCCCACAGCTCCTCCTCCTCCCCCTCTTCCACCTCCTCTTCCTCTTCCTCCTTCTCCTCTTCTCCTCTGTCTTTCCTCCCCCACCCCAATTTGTCACCCTTCTGCTCCCTGTCTTTCCCTCCCTGCCCAACGGAGGAGGAGACAGACAGCATTGGCATTAAGTGCTGGCTGCTCATCTTGGCCGCAGACCTGGCCGACTGTTCACTCCAGAACTGGCAGAAATATGGCACTTGCTCCACCAGGCTCTGGTCCATGGCTTCATGGAAGTTCTTGTCTTCCAGCAGGCCCCTGGGTGGCAAGAAGCAACAGGTCACGTGGAAGAGCCCCTTGCAGAACCCTCCTCTTGCCCACTCCCAGAACAGCCCCAGCTTCAGGCTCCCTGAGGAGCCATTTATGTTGTCTACTTTCCCCAGCAAGGGTTCCGCAGTGGGAGGTGGGGGGAGGCAGTCCTTAATCCCTTCTGAGGAAGGCATCTTAGAGCAGTATGGATTCTTACAGGTGCCCAAGCTGTGGTGGGGGCGGGCCCCACAGGTAGGAGTTGCACAGGTGAGGGGCAAGGTTTCTGGGGACGATGGTCAACTGACTCTGGCCGCATCTATCAGCCAGCTGCAGGATGGGGCAAATTTCAGGGCCATCTATGGAAGCCCTCCAGCCAACTCCACTAGATAGATCTGTGCTGGCCTGCCCCCAACTTCCACCCCAGCACCACCATCAAAAGTATGCTCTGGTACAGGGAGGGTATGTGGCACCTGATGATGGTGGTGAGACAGTCAACCAAGAGCTGGCGCTTCTGCTTGGAGACGGGGCCCCACCTGCCTTCGGAGGCTTCTTCCCAGAACACTGCCGACTCTTGCTTGGGGACCCTCCTCTTTGGCAGCTCCCTGGTGTAGGTGGGGGAGTAGAATCCAGGACATTGTGAGTGGACATGCTGGGGTTGGAGGCACAAGTGACAGTGGTGGCTTCCCAGACGGGAAGACATAAAAGAGTTTGTGCCACCCACTCCCACTCCGGTCTTAGCCCAAAGGCACTGAGTGCAAGGTCAACTTCAGGGGCAGTGGAAGACCCAGAGATGCTCTGAGTTGGAAAGGAAGAAATGAGGAGGGAGCAGGGAGACCTCTGGGCAGGGCCTTGTCTGCTCTGTCTCCCTGCTCCTCCTCCTCCTCAAGGCCTAAGCAGAGAGTGGATTGCTGCCCCTGCACTTGCCCCAGCCATCACCTCTGGGGTGAGAGAGGAGACCAAGGGCATGGGAAAAGCACCCCTGCTTCCCCAATTGTTCACCGGTGCAAGAAGTGGCAAGGGAAGTCTGAGAAGAAGTTGGCCAGAAAGTAGTCGGTGCCATGGGCTCGAGCAGTGAGGCCCAAGCACAGCATGCCCGGTGGTGGTGGCTGGGGGCACAACCAGGATGACTGCTCCATCGGGATCTGTAGGTCCCAGCTGGCGGGTCGACTTGGAGCAGGCTGGTTCCTGATGGGTGGCAGTGTCTTGGGGAACAAGGAAGGTGTTGTGGGTGACAGGCATCTCCGGGGACCACAGACAGGTCCCTTGACTGCATCTCCCAACCAGATCCCTGGGGTCCTGGCCACTGGCACTTTCAAACCTCCTTTCTGGGAGGCTGCCCCTGCAGCTCTAGATATCACTGGGCAAAAGCAAGGACCTGCCTCAGTGACCCTACCAAGGTGGGCCTGGGACCGAAGGGCTCACCTTGTACTTCTTGGCAGGTTCACAGGCTGTGCAGCGGGACCTTCTCTGAGGAGGAAGGAGCTGGGTGAGGATAGTGGAGGCCTAGAGTTTCTCCTTCCAGTTCTTCTTGCTGACCTCCAGAGGGCCTGAAACCAAGACCAGGCCTGCCGCCCACCTGCTCCTCACACCCTCTTCTAGAACCTTCCCTGGCGTGAGGTTTGGGAAGGGGAAGTGCTGCTTGCACACAAAGACAATCTGATGACCTGGTCTTCAGAAGGCAGAGGAGAAGACATGAGACTTGGGTGGGCCACCCCAAGGGGGCGAGTGGCATGAGGAAGTGGTTTACACTGTGAAGACTGCATTGGGAAGGTCCTCTCTCCCACTCCCCAAACAAGCCGTTGGCATCCCTCAGGCAGGGGGGAGCAGCGGTTCTCTGAGGGTTCAGTGTGGTCAGCTCGCGGTGATGGAGGAGCACTGTGGAGTCCTGCGGGGGTGGGGACGCCGAACTTGGCTGAGGCCAGAGTGAGGAGTTTCGTCTTATGTTTATCACTGGTGGTCCCAACAAATGCCTTTAGCCTACTTGTTGGTGCTGGCATTGTACATTCAGGAGCTCATTCAGTCCTCACTGTAATGGTGCTGAGCTGTTCCTTTCTTTACACTAGCAAAATCTTTCTATATTTTTTAAGATTTATTTATTTTTATTGGAAAGGCAGATATACAGAGAGGAGGAGAGACAGAGAGGAAGATCCTCCGTCCGATGGTCCACTCCCCAAGCAGTTGCAATGGCCGGAGCTGAGCCAATCTGAAGCCAGGAGCCAAGAGCCTTCTCCGGGTCTACCACATGGGTGCAAGGTCCCAAGGCCTCGGGCCATCCTTGACTGCCCTCCCAGGCCATAGGCATGGAGCTGGATGGGAGGCAGGGCTGCTGGGAATAGAACCAGTGCCTGCATGGGTTCCTGGCGCATTCAAGGTGAAGACCCTAACCACCATGTCACTGCGCTGGGCCCAGCAAAATATTTTTAAGCCATATTAACAGCATGGGAAATATGGGGTATATACCCAAGGGGAGAGGATGCTGCAAGGCCTCCTCCATTTCCTGGCACCCAGCTTTAGCACCTTGAGGTGGTCTTGTCTACTCTTTACCTTACTTCTGGGTTAGCATGAAGCAAATCTCAGGTGTCACTGTGGTCCTCATATGACCCACAAGGGAGCAGAGACCAAGTCAGATAAGTGGTCTGAGATCAGAGAGCTGGGAATCCTCAGGAGCAGAAAGCAAACCCAGTGATGTGCTTCCAGAGCCTGTACCGGAGACGACCACCTCCCCTCACCCCGAGGGACTCTGCCTGCCACAGGTGGCCCTGGGTCCCTAGGGCCAGGCATGTGTTGTGTGTTCCTTAAAAGCAGGCTGCATGATGCTGGCAATGACCAGCCAGCCTTCCCTCCCCAGAACCTTGGAATAGCTGTACAGACCCCCTACTCAGTCCTACGAGTGGAAGAGGATTCCTTTAGGGACAAGCTGGTGTGTGTTTGTTTTGCATGGAGGGCTACCTCAGCCCACCAGTCCAACCCCTCTGATTGACGCGCCCAGGGCCTACTCGGCCAATTTCACCTTTACTTCTCTGTCTGTGATAGTAAATTCCACCTCCTGCCGCAGCTTCTCATTCTTCCACTCCTGCAACTCCTTGTGGTACTGCCTCATGAGCTCCTGCCTGTACACCTGCAGCCCAGGATGGGGAGAGAGAAAGTCTAGATCTAGTCTAGGTTAGGTCTGCAGGTGGGGCGGCCTGCTCTGGGGCCTATGCTGGGGCTCCCTCATACTCCCAAAGACTGCCTCCTGCCTCTCTCTGGGGGTCTAGACACCTCAAAACCAACCTCACCATCAGGACTCAGAGCCCCTGACCTCTGGACTGCCTCCCACCTTGCACACCAAGTCCACACTGTAGAAGCTGGCATGTACAGAGGCTTTGAAAGTCACCAAGAATGGGATCGTGTCTTCAGGAGCCACTTCACCTTCCATGGGACTCACAGACACCTGTTGATTTGAAGTGGGAGACTCGGGGGTTTTGTGGAGGATGGGATGGGACGGGACGGGACGGGATGGGATGGGATGGGATGGGATGGGATGGGATGGGACTGAGTGGGGTGGGAGGAATGCTGCTGCAGGTTCTGCTGCCGTGGGCACTGGGAACTAACCTCCCCAAAGTCCAGAGGATTCGGCTGCCAGGCAAAGACAATTGTCTCATTCTTGGAGATGTTGTTGAGGAAGAGCAGGCGGCTGCACTTGCTCTGCACAGGGATGTTCCCCAGGGAGATGTGAGGCTGGGACAGGATGACGTGCTGTTGAGTGGAAACCCTGGGAGGTGAGGAAATGATATACCCACACAGCCACCACCAGCCATCGAGGACTTCCTCAGCACCATGCCCTATGGTAAGTGACTTACATGCACGTGGTCCTCACAATGGGGGCCCAGGTACTATGCTTTGTGCCCATTTTACAGTTACTCTGCTGAGGCCTCAAGGGTGAGAATGCTCTCTCCACCATCTGCCAGGTGTGCAGCTGGGATCAACTCAGACAGTCTCCATCTGAAGCCTAGATGATGTCAGCAACTAAAACAGGTGTGTAACACCTGGTTTCGAATCAGCTTAGGGATGCCAGAGCTAAAGCCAGCTTGACTGGCGCCTCTGGTGGATACTTGTATGCGAATAGGTGGCTAGCCATCACCACCTGTCACAGAACAGGAGCAGGTGTGGGGATGTCCAGGAGACCTGAGGAAGGAGCGTTTTCTCCGGCACCCTGCTTGCTTCCAAGGTAGGACACTGGCTGATGGACAGGTAGATGGATAGATATGCTGATGATTGAACGGCTAGATGGATGAGTGCATGAATGAGGGTGGGGGTGGGTGAGTAAATCAATCATCCCAATGATGAGTAGTATATGAACTAACACAGTGTTATTGACCATAGATGGATATCTTCCATCAAAGCCCACCCAAGTCTAGGGGAGATTGTCCTAGATCACACCTGCAATGGGAAACCATCATTCCCACCGTCCAACTTCCCAAAGCAGTGGGGTGGGGTGGAGACCTGGACAGCAGGCAAGTGGCTTGAGCAGGAAAAGTAATGGGTACTAGGAGGCAGGACTTGGTGCTTAGACCTGGAGGAGGGCTGGCTCCCGACCTCACCTCTGTGTGGGTGCCTGCACACCTCCACCCCCATTGCTTTCTGCTTCTCTAGCCTCTGCACCGAGCACACTGGACATCAAGCCTCCCCTCTGAGGTCTAAGGCTTTCTGGCTTTCTTTCCTCCTTACCTGGCCAGGAACCAGTAGTCTAGAGTGTGTGGAACCACTGTCCCATGAGGAGCGGGTGTAGAATGGAGCTGTATCACCCATGACGTGGGGGTCATAGCCCACCCCCTGGAAGCGGATGAGGGCAGAGTTCCATCCTAGGATGTGGATGGGCACATCCACCTGAAAAGGCAGGGGGTAGGAGGAAGGACTGGTTCAAGGTAAGGTCTGCCGGGGCAGCCAGCTCCACCCTCCCCACCTCCACCCCTAACCCTGCAGTGTCCAGTCGCTACCCACCGTGTAGGTCTTGGCCTCGAGAGGTGAGAATATCCACAGTGTGTGAGCAGTGGTGCCTGGCTGAATCTCCCCTTTGGGGTTGAGGCAGCAGAAAATGGGGTGGTCAAAATTCTTCTCCTGAACTTGGGACAGGATGTTGGTTTGGACCTCGTATGTCACGGGCAGTGAGCCCCCATTGTACAGCTCATAAATCTGCCAGGGAACACAAACAGAGCAAGCTCCTCCCTAGCTCGGGATGACAAGCCTCTGACTTCTCTTATGGAAGCCAACGCCCGAGAAGTACGCGACTGGGTTAGCAGCCTGGACCATGTCAGGATGCTTTGCCACCCTGCTTGCTAAGGAGCAGTTTGTTTTTCTCTGAGCCTAAGAGTTTTAAGGGAACTTGTGTATGTGTTGGGATTTAGGGTGTCCCGGTCAGCTTTTCATGACAGGGCAGAATACCTGAAGAGGCTAATTTACACATGGGAAAAGGGCAGATTTGCAGAGTGACAAGGATAGGTATAGAAAGATCTTTCATCTGCTGGTTCACTCCCTAAATGGCTGCAACAGTTAGACTGAACAGATCTGAAGCCAGGAGAAGGGGCTTCTACTGGGTTTCCCATGTGGGTGCAGGGTTCCAAGGATTTCAGCCATCTTCTGCTGTTGTCCCAGGCCATATCATGGAGCTAGACTGGAATTGGATAAGCTCCTATTTGGGATACTGGTGCTTGCATGGTGAGCGTTAACCTGTTGAGCCAAGGTGCCAGTCCCTCAGAGCAATCTTTTTGCAAGAACCACTTTTAGAAGGCACACCCCCTCCAAGCATCCTAACGACCTCTCACTAAGCCTCATGACTTGAAGATCCCACCCCCTTCCAACAGCACTCCACCCCTGGGGACCACTAAGGGATGTCCAATATCCAAGCTACATTGATGTGTGTGCCACTCAGACCCCTCGTCATTTTATAGACTGTCATTCTAATCACTGTGGGGTAGCCACCTTCCATGTCCCTCCCCCCACGAGAGAGGGACGAGCAAGAGGACAGAAGAAAGGAGACCTGAGGTCCTCAAGATTAACTGTGAAAGTTGGGCAGTTCAGAGTATTCTGAAAAACAATCCGAGATCTGCTCCTTCCTTCCTTTCAGAGATGTGACAACGAAGCCAGAAGGAAGATTCACATGGAGTTAGGGCACTCACTGAGCAGGCTGACTTTCCTTCTCAATCCTGGCCCACCCCGTTGAGCTCTAGGCCTGGTGCTATGGACTGAGTATTTGTGCCCCTCTCTGCCACACACCCCCATCCCACTCCCAGAAGCAATGGTGTTGAGAGTTGGGGCATTTAGGAGGTGGCCAGGTCATGGGGGAGGGCACTACATCTGCCACACCTAGGTCTGGGACTTCCACTTGCTGGAGTTGCAAGAACTAGCATTCAGGGGCCCAGCGGCGTGGCCTAGCGGCTTAAGTCCTCGCCTTGAATGCCCCGGGATCCCATATGGGTGCCGGTTCTAATCCCGGCGGCCCCACTTCCCATCCAGCTCCCTGCTTGTGGCCTGGGAAAGCAGTTGAGGATGGCCCAAAGCCTTGGGACCCTGCACCCATGTGGGAGACCCGGAAGAAGTTCCTGGATCCTGGCTTCGGATCGGCATAGCATTGGCCGTGGTGGTCACTTAGGGAGTGAATCATCGGATGGAAGATCTTCCTCTCTGTCTCTCCTCCTCTCTGTATATCTGACTTTCCAATAAACAAATAAATCTTAAAAAAAAAAAAAGAACTAGCATTCAGTGTATTAGCACTTGGGATGCACACAACCATACCAGAGTGCCTGAGTTTGAGACTTGGCTCAGCTTGTTGTTTCAGCTTCCTGCTAATTGCACTCTAAGAGGTAGCAGGTGATGGCTCAAGCGCCTGGGTCTCTGCCTGCAGTGTATGAGACCTGGATTGAGTTTCTGGCTGCTGGTTTTGGTCTGGCCATTGTAGGGATTTGGGAAGTGAACTGGACAAAAGGAGAATTTTGCTTATTTGTCTTTCTGTCTTTCCAATAAATAAAAATAATTTTTAAACACTGATTTTAAGGAATCTATTGGAAAGAGTTACAGAGAGAGATTGATTTTTAGCTGGTTGTTCACCCTGCTCCTGTTCACCAGGATCTTGACACTTCTGGGTCTCCCACATGGGTGCAGGGACCCAAGCACTTGGGCTGCTGTTTTCCCAGGCACATTAACAGGGAACCAGATCAAAACTGAAGTAGCTGGGTCTCAAACTGTTGTCCATATGGGATGTTGGCACTGCAGACGGAAGCTCAACCTGATACACCGTAATGGTGGGTTCAATAAAAATAATTTCCAGAAGAGCAATAAGGAATAAGTTTCTGAGGGCCAGCATTGTGTTGTAATAGGTTAACTTGCTTCCTGTGACACTGGCATCCCATATGGATTATCACTCAATTAGTCTTGTCCTGGCTGCTGCGCTTCTTATCCAACTTCCTGCTAATGGTCTGGGAAAGCAGCAGAGGAGGGCAAATCCTTGGGTCCCTGCTACTCATATGAGAGACCCAGAAGAAACTCTGGGGTCCTGGCTTTGGGGCCTGTCCCAAGCTTGACCACAGCAGCCATTTGGGGGAGTAAGCCAGAGATAGAAAATCTCTCTGCCTCTCCTCCCTCCATAACTTTGTCTTTCCAGTAAATAAATAGATCTTTAAGCCAGAAACAAATGTCTGTTCTTTATAAGCTACCCAGTGTGGAGAAACTGGTTAGAGCAGTTAGAATGGACCTGGCATCAACTTCTGCCTTTATTGTCTCATAGACACCTCAAACTTTGCCAAAGGCAAACTCATCACTCAAAATTCTATTTCTTGCCGCACCCCCCCCCAAGTTTATCTCCTTTCTTCAGAAAGCATGGCCTGTCATCACTAGTCAAAGCCAGCTCAGTCACAGCCCCTAGCTGGGTCACTGGGACTTGGGAGAGTGCAGGGGTGTTGCATGGAGGGGAACCAAGCCAGGAGCAAGGCCCCTGGCTGGAGGCTGAGTAGATGGAGACCCCCGCCCAGAAGCACAAGGAGCCTGCACAGGCTTGGCATGTCACATGTGAAAGCTTAACATTGTGTGCCCTCTGAGAGATTTCCAATGCTTGTCTTCAGGGCAAAGGAACCAAATTCCCTCCCATCAAAAAAGCAAGCAAAGTCTACAACTTGCTGAGGATTCCCATCCCAGCTCTTCACACTCCAGAAAGACTCTTTAGGAAGAGTGGAGGCAGGGGAGGGACTGGCATGATAGCTCAGTTGACTAACCCTCCCCCTGCAAATGCAAGAATACCTTATGGGCATCAGTTTGTGTCCCAGCTGCTCCACTTCCCATCCAGCTCCCTGCTTGGGCCTTGGAAAAGCAGTGGAAGATGACCCAAAGACTTTGGACCCTACACCCACATGGGAGACCCAGAAAAAGCTCCAGGCTCCTGTCTCCTGACTTAGATTGACCCAGCACCAGCTATTGCAGCCATTTGGGGAGTGAAGCAGCAGATGGAAAATCTTTCGCTCTGTCTCCCTTTCTCTATGAAAATCTGTCTTTCCAATAAAAACAAATACATCCTTTAAAAATAAAACAAAACAAACAAACAACAACAAAACCAGAAGGATACTTCTGGGAGCAGATGATTCTACACTTGGCTGAGATCTGTGAGTGGTCAGTTCTAAGTTGACTGAGTGGGGGTGCCCAGGATTTAAGATGTGAAACAGAATGAGACAAAAAGGAAGATCCCAGCATGCTTTGCATGTAGCAGCATGAGTATAGATTTGTGCCACTTCAGTCCCAGTTGGTTCAAATGCATAATACTGGCGTGTAAGCAAACGTAATATGAAATAGATTAGTGTGGTTCATGGTCAAAAATGTTGGAAGGAGCTTCTACTAGAGTCTGGGTAATAGCCCACTTTTGTGTGGGAAATGGTTCTAGCAGCAGGACTCAGCACCAGGCCCAAGGGACTAAAGTCTTGTGCCCTTGTATCCCCTGGACCTAGCCTGGAGCTTTCCATGAACCAGTCCCACCTCTTAGGTACTTCTAGAGGGCAGGGTCATGGTCACCCTGTCAAGGGCTGATGCCCACATGTTGAGGTCATAGCTTATGCTTCTAGGTGACCGCAACAACTTAGACTGACCTGTCGTGGGGGCATCATGTCTCCGATGGGCACAGGGACAAACTGATGGCTGGTGGAGGTGAAGTGCACGTATTTCTGCTGCAGCCTCACTGTCACGCCAATGAAATTGAGCTGAAAGGAAAAAGCTCATGGCAGCAGGAGTGGGGAGGTGTCCTTCCCTGGGAGGAGGATACACACCCAGCAGAGAGATCTGGACCCTAGTCTCACACCCCCCTCCCACACTGTTTCCTGTTTCTTTCTTGGTTGTCCAGTGAGTGCTGTGTCCCCCTGATCCCCAACACAGCCTCCAGCCTGAGACCCAGGGTGCTGGAGCCATACCAGGATCTCCCGGCCATAGGACACCTTGAAGAGCACCGGAAGGCGGTCAGTGCCAGTGAAGACGTGGCTGGAAGGGAGGGGATATGGCCAGCAGTGAGTGTTTGTACAAGCAGGTGAGCAGCAAGTGGATGTGGTACACCCGTGGCTTTGAGATCGGCTTGAAAGCTACCCCTGGGGGTGTGGTGAGGGTTTAAAGGAAGGTGGTCCCTCGCAGGGCCATGAATATTGGCATACAGGAGGCACACAGGCGCATGGGGGCTCCAGGAAGTGCAGGGTGGTGATGGTTGGGGGAGCACCTGTACTTGAACTCCACCATCTCCTCCTGCCCAGGGCTCAGGCTCCCAGCTTTGGGGCTAATAGAGAAGATGCAGTTGTCCTGTGCACGCATCTGGTGGAGCTCCGTGCTATCAAACTCAGCTTGCTCTGCCCACAGCTCCAGGTCTATCTGCTGGTCGCTCGGAAAGAGGAAGGACCTGGGAAAAGGAGTGCAAAGTCAGAGGACTAAGGCTGGGCAAAGAACTTGTCAGAACAGAGGAGGCGGAGCTCTGGACCCCTGGCCGCCTGCACTACATCCTTTCAATGCTGTTACTGATTTTCCTTTCACAATGTTCCCTCATCCCCCCAAAACTGAGAACAGGAGCAGGACTGCAGTGACCTAGGAAGAAGCAAAGAGTCGGCTCCTAGTGACACCTGCCAGGAACAGAAGCTCCTCCACTTGAGGCTCCTAGGATAGTTGGCAGCACCAGCAGAGGCCCCTACCTGGGACCAGACCAGCTTGGGCAGAGGGTGGAGAGCAAGGTGCCCCCTGCAAGACTGGTTCTTGAAATGGAAGCAAAATCGGGCAATGATTCCACACCAGGTGGCCTCATGCTGTTGTAGAGCCAATGTTGTCCTGGGATCATTGACAGGACACAACAGGACAAGTGACAAAGGGATCCTCCCAATCAGACAAGAAGGTACATGGTCCCAGTCCCAGCAGCAAAAGGTGGGAACAGGAAGCTCTGGCAAAGGGGAAAGGCTGCCAGCCACTGCATGGCTGGTGCTGGCAGAACCAGGGAAATGCAGCTCTTAGGAAGCTGCTCCACCTTCTGGAAGGAGTTTTAATTGCAGCTATTAGAAGGGAAAATGCCCAGGAGCCTCTCATGCTGGGGATGCCAGCATCACAGCCTCCTGCTTATGTGCCCGGAGGATGGCCCGGGGACTTGGGTCCCTGCTATTCCTGTGGGAGACCTGGATGGAGTTCCAGGCTCCAGCTCCCTCTTTCTATTGCTCTGACTTTCAAGTAAGTATTTTTTTTTTTTATAAATGCATATGCTCTTTGACCCAAAAATTCCATTTTGGAGAACTCTCCTGCAGGTAAAAAACAGGCACACACATGCGAGTGCACACCCACACACACACACACTGACACAGATGTTTATGACAAGTCTCCATAATGAGGCACAGCAGGGGGAAGAGAAAAAGCAACTGGCTACAATTAAAGCCTTCAAGGAAAGGACTAGTTTAGCAGCTTGAGGTGCCTGGCTGTAGATGCCCCTGCCAATACACTTCACTCTGTCCTTTCTTGCCAGGGCTTAGCTGCTGCATGGAAATCTCCTGGTCAAGCCCTGGCACCTACACAGTTCTGGGATGTAAGTGGCAACTGGCTGGGAGTTTTCTTGCCACCTAAGAGGTGTGGACCCTGGGGTTGGGGACAGATCCAGGTCTAGCTGAGCCTGGCTCCACTCATTCAGAGCTGAGTAGCCTTAGCTGGGTCTTTGGCCGCACTGACCCCAGCCTTCCCATCTATGCATCAGAAGCACTGTCTTCCTGGGGTTTCTGGGAGCATTTGAGGCTTGTAGACCATGGTGCCTGGCATGTAGCAGGTGCATAGCAAATGCTCCTGTGCACTGAGCTATTGAGATGCTGGTGTCCAGGCTGCAGGTGCTCCACCACTGCTAAGCCTGAGCACATAGCCCAGCCAGCACTGAGTCCTGATGAGCACCCCTCATACTGGGCCCACTCCTCTTCCCAGACACCAGTCACCCAGGATACCCACCCCCACATCCTTGCAGCACCCAGGGAGTGCCATACCAGTCCACAGGTACCACGCCACTGTTCTTCATGGTCAGAAGCACCACAGATGGGGGCGCATTGATGGGCGCAGCCCCAAAATTGAAGTCAAGCTTCAAAGGGGTGAGGACTGGGGGTGTCTGGCTTGTGCTGTCAGAGAGCAGAGGAATGAACTCAGAGCTGAGGACAGCACAAGGGGTTCCCCCATGGCAGCTGGCTTGCCTCCCATGCTGCCGGCTTGGTCACTCTATACTAGAGGGGTAGGAATAGGCTGGCTGCACTGGCTTCCAACCAATCCCTGCCTTCCCCAGGCCCCTGCAGGGCTGAACAGCAACTTGGGGCAGGTGGGAAGTAGCTTGGCAGATGGGACTGGGGCTGTGGGCAGAAGTTCCATAGACTCCCCAGCTAGCCCTGGCTCCTTGCCCTGCTGCACACACACATACATACCCCCACCCTGCTGCACACACACTCACCCCCACTCCACTGCGCACACACACACCCCACCATGCACACACATATACACCCCCTCCTACTGTGCACACACACACTGCCTCACTGCACACACATATTCCCCACCTGGCTGCACACACACCCATACACTGCCCTGCTTCACACACATATACCCACCCTGATGCACATACACCCTGCCCTGTGTGCATACACACACAGACCTGCCACCCAGCTCACCTGTGCCGAGTAGGCACCTTGTAGGTGAGTTCCTGAGGAGTGGGGTCACGCTCCAAGTAGCTATTGAGCATGTCCAGGGAGAAGAGGCGCCACAGGTGCTTGCGGGTGATGCCCTCAGCACTGCCCATGGAGCAGGCATCCAGGATGGAGAGGAAGGGGTACACAGCCTCCAGGGTGACCCGGCTCAGCTCCTGCTTCTCCCCTACCTTGTTGTCTGGAGGACAGAGGAAGAGCGGGGTGCAGGTGGAGGGGGAAGGACACTGGCGGGGGCGGTGGCTGCCCTGACTCTGAGCCACATCCATCCACCCCAACCCTTGCCCAAGCACTACCGACTGACTGCTGGCTGCTTTATATATATCCCTGCACATCATATGCATCAGGATTTGGTTCCAAAATGATTCTAAAAATTTATTTATTAGAGAGTCGTTGTGGCACAGTAGTTTAAGCCACCACCTATAACTGGTCATCCTACATGGGTGCCAGTTGAAACCCTGGATGCTCCACTTCTAACTCAGCTCCCTGCGATGCGCCTAGGAGGAAGGCTCCAGTGATTGAGCCTTTGAACCCATGCAGGAGACCCTGGTGAAGCTTCTAGATCCAGTCTGGCCCAGCTCCGGTCATTGTAGCCATTTGGGAGTAAACCAGTGGATGGAAGACCTCTCTGTCTTTTCTTTATCTCTGTAACTCTTCAAACAAATAAATCTTTAAAACATTTGAGAGACACAGAGTGTCCACTTAGTTCACTGCCCAAATGCCCTCAACAACCAGTGTGCCTTTGCCCTACTCAGCCCTGCTGGCGCAGCTCCTCCCCAGCCTCATCCCTCCATGCCAGGTGGCCCGGCACCTCTGTGTGAGAGCAGAGAGTAGCTGAGAGTCCAGGAGTATGAGGATCGGCGCTTGGGGCAGGCGGTCAGGCAGATGGTGTCCTGAGAGTGGGGTGGCAGGCTGCCATCTGTCCGGTCCAACTGCAGAGCTGCTCAGGGATGGCATGGGTGAGGTCAACAGGCAGAAGAGGCCCAGGCAGATACCTTTCCTGGATGCTACCTCACAAAGCAGGGGTGGCTCTGGTCAGCCCATGTGGGCACAGCCATTCTTCCCACGCTTCTTTGAGTCACTGGCACCTTTGAAGCCCTTCTCTCTGCCCTCGAGCCCTGGATCCCTGGCAGGTGGTAGCTACTTGGCAAGAGAGGAGGCAGCAGTTCAGAGAGAACATTCATCTGTCTGATGCTACACAGCATTTAGGAGGAAGCACCAGGGTTCCTGCTGTCTTGGCTGGACCCAAGCCACAGTGTGGTCACCCCAATCTTAACCCTGGGGCCCTCTCTTTCCTAGGCCCCAGCTCCGCATACCAGGAGGGCTTTGGTCGTTGGCCTCAGGGCTGTGCTGCTCCAGGTGCAGGCGGTAATAGAGGGTACAGTCACCCTCGTTGTGCAGTGTCAGGAACCTGCTCTCCTTGCTGTCCACCAGAAGGTTCCCAAAGTCTAGCTCCTTCTCCTTGGCCTGAGACCACAGTCACCCAATTGTAGGAGGGGATTCCCCACATAGGTCACAGCCCTGTCTTCTCACTGCCACTCCCCACAAAGAAGCCTGGGTCCAGGGGAAGCCAGAGGATGCCTGACTTGTGCCCTCTTAGAGTTGCCCAACCTGGGCCCTCCCCTCCCACCTGAGCCCTGGATCCCCACCCCCTGGGCCCCACCTTCCCCTCCCACCTGAGCCACCTGAGCCCTGGGTCCCTGCCCCTGGGCCCTGGATCCCTGCCCACTAGGCCCCGCCCTCCTCTCCCAGAGTCCTGTTACTCACAGAGATGCTGCTGGAGATGCCCATGCCCACCAGTCGCAGCAGGTAGTGAGTGCTGGGGGGCTTGGCACTGAGGGGCAGGCCGGCTTCCCAAGCCCACATTCCTACTTGGAACAAGTACTTGGTCTCCTCCAAAGGGCTGAAGACCCACGTTAGCGTCTGGAGTTCCAGAAATGACACCCATGTGAGACTTCCAGAAGCCCTCTTCTCTGGAGGACCTGGCTGCTAGAGGTGTCCCTCTCCCCCATCCATCATACACCAGGAGCACTGTCTGAAGTTCACGGCGTGTGTTCACTGCCCTGAGGCCTCGCAGCCCCAGGAGTGACCAGCAGTGTTGGGTTGGGGCTTGCTTTCTGATAAGAAAGTAGAACTTCAGAGAAGTTGGGGTGACATCACCTAAGGTGCACAAGAGAGCTGGAATACCAGTGCGTGCCATCTCTCACCTCCCTCTTAACGTCCCCCTGTGCTCCTATCCTGAGTCTGACCTCCCCAGTTTAGTCTGAGAGGCTCCAGGCTGGGTGACTAGGTATAGAATCTGCAGTTTTGGATCCCAGCCCATACCCCACCCCCTTGCACACTACAGCTGGGACCTCTGGCGTCCTCTTCCTTCTCCAAGCCACCCACTCAGCTCCAACTCCAGCTGTTGCCAATAGCCCCACAACTTTGGGAACCATACACGACATAGCAGGGCCCCACCACATGTTTTGGCAACACCAGGGATGCTAGCCCAATCCTGCTGCCTTGAGATCTCAGTAAATGTGCCTCCCAGCCCCGTAAGCTTCTTCTTTTCATAAAAGGGGGGGGGGGGGTGGTGAAGGTGGTCATAATGATGCGTGCTCTGGTGGGGGTGAGGAGGGTGATGAGGGCCAAGTGGGTAGGCACTCGAGAAAAAGATACAGGTGAGAAGGGGGTAAGCCTCACCCTTCACAGGTTGAGGGGGCACTCACAATGCTCTCGTTGGGCTGGATGAGCCCTTTGCTGGGCTGGACTGCCAGCATCTTTCGGTGCTGCTGGGAGACCCTCCATTCAAACTCCAGGGGTAGGCGTGAGGGGTTGTGGAAGGTGAAGGTGCTGCTGGAGGAGCAGCCCACCCAGGTGGGCGTGAAGAACACACTTTGAGAGGTGTCCAGCTGTAGGTGCACAGGCTCCTCCCGGCTCTCCAAGGTCACCTCCTGCATCCAGGGGAAAGAAGGAGGAGCCTGACTTCACACCTTGAACCCTAATGAATCGCAAGTATGTTATCATAGCATTGCAGGTAGACTGAGACACCTCACTATCTCCTGCAGACTGAGCCTTCTCTTGCCCCCACTCAGTCTTCTTCGAGGAACCTCTGCACCCTTTCTCCTTGGTCCCCAACGAGGTGGGAGAGACAAGGGGTCTTCTCCATGCAAGGTGACTTCTTGGAGAGGAGTCGCCAGCTGCTGGCAAGGCCCCGGTGTCCCCCCTCCACCACCTACCCTGAGATACTGGAGGCAAGAGTTGAGCTGCAGGTAGAAGTTGTGCTGTTTCCATGAAGTGCCCTTGGGGTAGGCACAGATCAGGGATATTTGGTGGGCCCCGGGCGCCACAAGGCCCGAGGTGGGCCGCAAGGCAATGTCCGAGGAGCTACTGCTGGGAGCTAAGTTGAAGGTCAGCAACATGAGGCCCTTGTTGACCAGGAGCAGGCTGCGGTAGGATGGCTCGCCAGAGGGCACAGCAGGAAAGAGCTGTGGGCAGGCAGGGTGAAGGAGACAAGAGGAGGGAAGGCCTCTGGCTCTGATGGCCACCCCAGGCCATGGCCACCAGGGCCTCTCCTGGAGGTGAGAGCGAGACTTGGGGCATAATGGCCACCTCACTCTCAGAGATCCCGGCCCACGTGGTGTAGATCTTTCAGACTCTTACCCACACAAGCAGTAGAGGGAAAAACAGCCAGGTTAATCCTGGGGGTATAGAGAGTATAACCTGTGTGAGCTTGAATCCTGAGCAGCCTACCAGATGCAAGACTCCTGGGTCCTGGACCTAAACGCCCATCCAGGTGGGGCAGCAGGTGTATGTGTGGGCCCAAGGATCCAGGACCCACAGCAGACCATAGTAAAAGAGGGATGCTGGGTAGGGAGAAGGGACAAGGAAGTACACCAGGAGCACAGCAAGTCAGGGCAAGCTGTGGGGAGGGGCATTCCAAAGACTTTGGGGCCTAGCTGGACACTCGGTAAACAGGACCCTCCCTGCCAATGATGCTGTAGGTACTGCAGTGCAGAGCCTGCAGGTTAGGCTCAGGTGGGTATTTATGAAGGAGTGAGGAGGGGCAGCCATCCAGCTCCCACGGTCCCCAGTCTCTGCTGTGGGCCAGGGGAGCTGGTGTGCATGTGTGTGTGTGTGTATGTGTGTGTGTGTGTGTGTGTGTGTGTGTGTGTGTAGGGAGAGACAATGCACTGTGTCCCTGAGGTCATCAGAGAAGGAGAAGGACCTATACCCCAAGGCAGAAGAAGACAGGCTGCCCTAGAACCCTGCTCCATGCTGTGGAATCACACTCACCTTGGGGACATCCAGGGAGTAGTGGGGGATGTGGTGCTCATAGGCAGCATGGTAGGTGTGGCCCTGGGCATGCACAGTCAGGCACCAGGATGGACACACGGTACAGTCCTCCTCGACGTTGTTGTAGCTGCGCAGCACCTACCCCAAATGGTCTAAACTAGGTTTAAAGCCAGGAGCCAGGGGCTTCTTTCAGGTCTCCCACATGGGTAGCAGGGGACCAAGCACTTGGGCCATCCTCTACTGCTTTTCCCAGGGACATTAGCAAGGAGCTGGATTGGAAGTGGGGTAGCTGGGACAAAACTGGGACTGATACGTGATGCCAGCATTGCAGTCCCATTTCAGGTGGCAGGAACACCTGAGACAGGTGACTGCCTTACAGGCACTGCAGGTCTAGAACCTGGAGCCTATGCTGGAGCAAAGCACTCATAATTCCCTCCAAGACCAATACACAGGCCTGGAGGTGATTCAAGACTCCCTTTGGCAAAGCCTCCCAGAAAGTCCAGACATGGCCCCCAAGTTCATGGATGAAATGACCAGGGCTCAGAGACATGCAGGTGCCTGCCTAGGGTCTCACAGCCAGCAGGTGACTCTGACCTTGACTGCAGGATTCCCACACCTGTCCCAACTCCTATATTCCAGCAGATGGGAGGAGCCAAGAAAGAGGAGAAAGGTGGGTAGGGCTGAGTGGGGACATGGAGGGAGCAGCATGCATCTGGGGCCAGGAAGCCTGGGATAGTGCCGCAGGGCTGGGATGGCCTGTGTGCTAGGGTCCCCAAACAAGGAAAGGGTGTTCCCTGGCACAGTCATCCAGCACCACTAATGGCTATGGCTCCTTTAAAAGGGATATTGCTTCCTTCAAGGACTAGAAGATATGGGCTTGTGTGTGGGTTCAACTGGTTAATCCTCCACCTCCAAGCATTGGCATCCCACATGGGCACTGGTTTGTGTCCCAGCTGCTCCACTTCCCATCAAGCTCCTGCCCAGTCGAGGTGCTTAGGAAAGCAGTCAAGGATGGCCCAAAGCCTTGGGACCCTGCACACATGTGGGAGACCTAGAAAAAGCTTTTGGCCCCTGGCTTCAGATCAGCTCAGCTCTGGCCATCACAGCCTTTTGGGAAATGAACCAACAGATGGATGATCTTTCTGTCTCTCCTTCTGTCTGTAAATCTGCTTTTCTAATAAAAATAAATCTAAAAAAAAAAAACAGCAAAAAAGGGCTAGAAGATAAGCCAGGAGATGTAGCCCATGTTCCCAAAGGGCTTGATCCCAGCTGGCAGAGAAGGTAGGTCACCCCCGGTCACCCTTCCCAGCATCCAGTCACACAGAAGCTACCTCCCACCTTGAGTGCATGTGCGCGCGCACACACACACACACACACACACACACACACACACCTTATAGACAGCAAAGGCTTCAAGCTCCACAGAGTAGAGGCAGTTGGAATGCAGTGGCTGGAAGTGTAGACGCATGGCCATGGACTTGAGTGGGGGCACATCACAGGTGTCCGGGGTGACCCAGAAGGGACAATCAGGCCTGTGCGTCCAGACCACAGTGATCTTGCCCTTGGTGTGGTTCATCAGGTACAGAGGGACAGGGTTGGGGGCCTCAGCTCCAGGACAGGCACCAAAATCCACTTCGGCTGGCTCGATGGTGACGGGTGGAGGGAAGATGGCCACACTGCCTGTGCCGTCGAGGAAGTACTCAGTCATAGGGGGGATACTGGGATACTGAGGCGCTGGCATATCCTCCAGGTCCTGCCCAGGGGGAAGAGACAGGTGCACAGGGGGGCGGGGGAAACTGCTGTTGTGTCTGCCACTGTCCCTCTGCCACACCCAGGGCAGCAGGCAGGAACCCAGGAAGGCAGCTGGGCAGGGGGATGGAGTGTCTGAGGCTCATAGCTGTGGTACCTCTATGGGAAGCATGAGGGCCCCATTCTGGTCTTGCTGCAGCTTCTTCTCCTTGAGCATGGTGCTCAGAATGTGAGGAGGGTAGAGTGTCAGGCCCCGTGCCAGGTGTGTGCGGTACCAGGTGAGGTGCCGAGGTTTCAGGATGGGCGGTTTGACACTGTCTGAGTGGCAGGTCCCAATCAGGTCCAAGAACAATGGGTCCTGTGAAGTTGGTGCATGTGGGACAAGACATGGGGTAGAGTGGATGGGATCCACTGGGGGGTAGGCAGCAGCTGGGCAGAGAGGGCAGCAGAGAGAGAGGAGCTGAAGCTGCAGGGCTAGCTGGAGTGCTGAAGGATTAGGATGCTCAGCCATGCGGGTCACCCTGGCAGGTGTTGTGCCCGGTAAGGGGACTTGCAGCAGCAGCCCTCAGAACCTCAGCAGAACAAAGGGCGACCCCTCAAGTCCAGGTTCCATCCTTTCGTTCTTATTTTCCCCTCTGCCTTCACCCCGCCCCTGCCACACACACATGCATACAAGGTCTCCCCAGCAGACCCTGCACCTGTACAAGAATTAGCAGTTACCCACTTCTTCAGATAGACTGAGCCTACAGCCTACACTCTTGCCTACATGTCAGCCCTGCCTGCCATGTGGCATCACCACCAGGCACCCACTGGCCTGGGCACAATGTATCTGCCCTTTGGAAGGGCACCTCCAAAGCTCTTTGCCTTTCACCTGGCACGTGGAGCCATATCTGCTAGCCACCGCAGCAGCAAAGTCCCTGGCTTAGCATCAGGGAGAACCACTCTTCTCCTTTAGCCCTGCCCCCCTACACTACCTGGTGGTGGATGAGACAGGCCACCCGCCGGAAGTAGACGATGGGGTGAGTGGGTTGGAAGGTGCAGTGCAGCGTCACACGGGCCTTGCCATGCAGGGTCCCGAAGGCAGGCCTGATGCTGAAGACACTCTCCTGGCAGTCGATGTTGAACTGGAAGTAGGCGGTGCAGTCTTCCTGGTTCTCAATCCACAGAGACTGTTCAGAGCGCTCCCCGAGGTTAACCCAACTGAAGTTGACACAGTACTGCTGGAGGGACACAGCGGGACCTGGACACGGGAGACGGGGGTCTCTGTGAACCTTCCCCAGTGGATTCCCCACTAATGGGAGGCCCATACGCCTGCAATCTGGGCTGTGATCAGGTGTAGGATCACCGGACAGGACAAGCACTCGTGGGGGGGAGGATTCCACACTGGACCGCCAGGGGGCAGCAGACACCCAGGTAAGGAACAGAAGGTGCAGGCACTTGGGCACCGAGATGGAAAGGGAGAGTTGGGGTCCTGGGGTGGCCAGTACCTCGGCAGAAACCCACTACTTTGAGCAGGGTTTGGGAGGCAGAGCCGGCAGGCGTGATGGAGAAATAGTCCACGGTCCTGCTGTCCAGAGCCTCCGGGTGGAAGAACACTGACACGTATGTCTTCTCTCCCGGGCGCACCACGCCCTCGGTCGTGGGGCACGAGAAGGCCTGCTCTTTGGACGGCAGGTCCGGGGCGATTTCAATCTTGAAAGGGGCGTTCACCTGTACGAAGCAAGGAGTGCAGCAAGGAGCGTGTCAGGTGACAAGGTGGGCAAGCCTGTGCCTGGCACTGAGGTGCCCACTGGAGGGAACTCGAGGCAGCTGGCTAAATCCAGCTGTGGGTGTTGGTGAGCCTACTGCCACCAGGGGGCGGACAGGCCCTGCGCTGGACTGCTGCCCAGTAGGGGTAGGTCAGAGGTGCTCACTGGCATTAGTTGTGTCCTGGGGTCAGGACAGTTCAGGCCTGCTGTAGGGGCTGTTTGGGGGGAGCCAGGATACCCATTGACGACTGTCGGGGCCAAGTGGTTCCTAGGAGGCTTTGGGCCAAAGGCATGGAGAGGAAGTGTCCTGAAAAGGGCACGGATTATAGCAGCACAGGGTGCTGGGGTCCCAGAGCCCAGGCTCTGCCCTTACCATCTGCCTGCACCCTCCCCCCGCCGCACACACACCCGCACGCACCACAGATGGATTATGCAGCTTGATTTGCCTCTCACTGATGCAGCCCACAGCAACAGAGCCAAAGTGCAGAACTTTCTGGAAGCCTGGGGCATCCTGGTCCTCTGGCTGCTTGTGCCTGATGCTCACCAGCAGCTGGGGGCATTTGGCTGGGGCAGAGATGGGAGGGGCTGTGGCCCAGCTGAGCAGGCCTTCTCATGCCCCTTCTCGTGCCCCTGAAGTCCCAGGGAGAGGAGCCTGTGTCATCACGGGGTAGGGAGGGGTGGGGGCAGAGAAGGGGCAAAGCTTGGGGACTGGTGGGGAAGGTGGGAGGGTGACGGAGGCCCTCAGGGGGCCAGGCTAAGGTGAGGAGGGTGGCAGCCCTTGGGAGATAGATGGGAGGGCAGGCCTCACCCACAGCCTGCAGCCTCATGCTGCACTTCTGCTGGCTCCCCTCGCTGTACCAGCACGTGGCCTCAGCATCATAGATGACAGCCACAAGGGGCTGGAAAGTCACTTTGATCTGGAAGGTCTGGCCTGGCTCCAAGAACCCCGTGGTGGGAACCATCTGGAAAGGGCTGGGGAACTCCCAGGTGAAGAAGGTGGGCAGGTCCCTGGCGGGGACAGGGGAGTGAAAGATGGGGACAGGGGATGTCTCAGGACTCTGGGCTCCTGCCAGAGAAAGGTAGAGGAGACCCCAGCCTGTCTCCCTGTCCCCCTGCCTCTGGCCTCTTCCACTCCCTTCCCAGCCCACCTTCCCTCCTGGGGCCGCTTTTTCCCCAGTTCTCAGTCTCACCCCACATTGTCCAGGGAGAACCAGGCTTCCGCCGTGTCCCCCACCGCGCACAAGGGCAGCTGCAGGGCCGCCGGGCAGGCCAGTCTGTGGCGAGGCAGGATGGCCCGCAGGTCCACATAGAACGTGCCCTCGGCTTTCTCAAACCACAGCCTGTCCAAGTACTCCTTCTGCAGCATAGTGGGAGGGGTGGGAGGTAGTGAGTGGAGGCAGCCACAGGTCAGTGGGCCAGGGAGGGATACCTCTCCCCCAAGGAACACCTACCCCTCCCACCTCAGCCACACCTCCGATACAATCCCTTCCCAGCCTCCTAGGAGGGAGTCAGCCACACGGTTTTTGGTCTCAGAAATAACAGGCTCTTTTGGAAGTAATAAAAAGTATCTTCAGGAATGGGAGGGGGGTTGGTGTGGTGGCAGAGCAGGTTAACTGCTAGTTATGAAGCTGGCATCCTATATGGGCACTTCAGTCATCCTCTGCTGCTTTCCCAGGTGATAAACAGGGAGCTAGATTGGATTAGAAGTGGAGTAGTGGGACGCGAACCAGCGCCCATCTGGGATTGCTGGCAATGCAAGGCAGAGGATTAGCCTGTCAAGCCACCCATTTTTAAAGTATCTTGAAAGGGATTTGGGGGAGCAAGAAGAAACCAAGGAATCCAGTGACAAATTGAAGAGTCTTCCAAAAGTTTATGAAAAAAGAAATTAAAAAGAGTTAAATTTATTTTGGTATTAACTTTAAGTCCACAGATCATTTTTTCTATCTATATGCTTCCCACAAGCTTCTGGAAGATTCCTTGTGCAGCACGGATTTTGAAGTATCGGGGGGCCAAAATACACTTCACTTCTAGTCCTGTTGATCCTGTACTTGTTGAAGTGGCCTCACAGCCTTGGCCTTTCACTGTCCAATGGGGAGCCCCTTCCCGAGCTGGCCAGCAGGAGGGCAGATGCTGGGGGAGCCACCTGCTACGCTTACTCTCTCTCTTCTGTTCCCTGAGCTGAGGTCCCTGTTGGAGTAACCCTTGCTCCTCGCTGGTCCTGGGACCTCACCTCCTCCAGGGGCCGGAAGACGATGGGGAGCGTGAAGCTGATGCCTGGGCTCAGCAAGATGGGCTGAGGGATGACGGTGAAGAAGAACTTGCTCTTGGGAGGTCTGTGGGAGACAGCCCAGGGGTGGGGGGTGATGAGCACCTCGGGTCAGGGCTTAGAGCAACTGGAAGAGGCGAGAAGAGCAGAGATGGTCCCCCAAGAGAGACCTGGGGAGTGTCCACGGAGAGGGAAACGTGAGAGGGGCGTGTGTCCTTGCTTCTCCTGTTCCTGGAAAAGTTTGTGCCTCTGTGGAAGGTGCGGACAGAGGAGACAGGGATGAGGAAGGGCTGCCGTGAGATGACAGAATCCTTGGGCACTGAGCCAGGGAATCCACCACAGAGAAGGGTGGGACCAGGGACGCGGAGACCAGGGAGGTCAGAACCACACAGGCTGCAGACTCTTCGAAGAGCAAGAAGATCACGCCAATTCTGTGCTCATGCTCGCTCTGAGCTGAGAACACACTCCAACAACACTCTAACTTGCCCAAACTGACCCAAAACCACTGTACTAGACGCAAGCATTCAGCATGGCTGTAAAACATCTACTCTCTGCAGCAGAGGGCATGAGATGTCCACCTCCAGCGCCTGGCTCTGACTGCCCGTCAATGCACACCCTACCCATGAGGCAGTTCAAATGATGGCTACCCCCATGGGAGACCTGCATTGCATTCCTAGCTCCTGCCTCCAGTCCTGACTCAGCCCTGGCCACTGCAGGTGTCTGAGGAGTGAATAGGCAGGTGGAAACTCTTGTTCTATTTCACTCTGCCTCTCCAATAAATAAGATTATGCTTTTTTTAAAAAAGAATTATACAACGAATGTGATGGCTGCTATAGTTATAAAGCATGAGAAACGGAATATGTGGTCTGCAGTGTTTTCTCCAAAATGAAGACGGAAGACTTTGGAGCAAGTCCTAGCAAGCGATTGAGGAAAATTAATTCTTGTGTTGAAAACTCTTCCAACGTGAGGTGAGAAAACAGCCCTTCCCATTCTCTCTGACACCATCATCATCATCATGTCATTTCCAAATCATGTCATTTCCATCATCATGCGCAGGAGGAGGAAGGAAACAGGACAAGCCCATCTCCCTCATAAACAATACATCAGCAAATGAACTTGGCAGTGCATGGAAAGAACACTCAATAATGGCCAGAAAAATGCGGGTAATTTAACATATAAAAATCAATAACTCAGTTGCCTGTTGTAACAAATCAAGGAGGAGAAGCCAAATGATCAGGTCGAAGGGAAGAATGCTAGATAAACTGCAGTGGCTGTTTAGGAGAAAAATTTCTCAGCACAGTAGGAGTGGAAAAGGACTCTGCAGTTTCAGAAAGTTTTCACAAAACCAAGAGAACCTGACAGGAAACACCTAGCAAAACGGTAAAGCCCAGCCAAGTCTGTTGTTGCTGTTTGTTACTCTAAGATCGTAAACAAAACCAGGACACACTTTGTAGCCACTTCTAAGAAGAGGCCTAAGAATTGGAAAGGAAGAAAGGTCCATTGTCTCCATAAAGGAGGAAGGTCTAACATGGAGCAATCCAAACAAGTTAGTATCATTAATAAGGGGATTTACCAAGGTCACTGGATATTGATAGTCATATAAAAATAAATGACATGAAAAAATATCAACAGACACAGAGTGAAAGCAACTTTAAAATATATTCTATATTATCCGCAGCCATACTGCTCTAAACAAGCCTGATCTCATCTGACATCATTAAGTCTATCTTATAACATCATCAAAAACATTTTTAAAAATGCAGGAATAAATCTAATTAAAGATATGCACTTCACTGACAGAAAAGAAAATTTATTAAGTATATGTGGAGATACATCATGACCAAATAGGAAAGACTCAACATTGTAATGAGGCCAGTTCTTCCTAAACTGATATTTAGGCTCAATTAAACCAGAATAAAAATGTCAGAAAGTAATGGAGGGACCCCTGCTGTGGTATAGTATGTTAAGCCTCTGCCTGCAGCACTGGTTCCAGTTGCTCCACTTCTAATTCGGATTCTTGCAATTGGCCTAGGAAAGCAGCAGAGGATGGTCCAAGTCCTTGGGTCCTGACACCCAAGTGGGAAACCCACAAGAAACCCCAGGCTCCTGGCTTCAGACCAGACCAGCTCCTACCATTGCAGCTGACTGGAGAATAAACCAGTGGATAGACAATCTCTTTCTCTCTGTCTCTCTTTCTTTCTCTCTGCAACTCTATCTTTCAAGTAAAAACAAACATTTTATAAAGGCTCATAGAAAAATAGAGATAAAAGATAAATGTAGGGATGGTTGTTTGGACTAGCAGTTAAGATGCCAGGTGGTATGCCTGTCCCCTGCAGTGGGGCACCTGTGCTTAATCCCTTGCCCTGGTTCCTGATTCCTTGGAGGCAATGGTGATGGTTCACGAGGTTGGGTCCTCCTACACAGGTGGGAGACTGGTTGTGTTCTGGGCTCCTGGTCATTGTGGGCATTTAGGGAATGAATCAGCTGATGAGAATTCTCTCTGTGTTCTTCTCTTGCTGCATAACAGATTTTCAAAATTATTCATTTGTTTTTATTTGAAAAGCAGAATTACAGAGAGAAGGAAAGACAGAGAGCGAAAGAGAGATTGTCCATTTGCTGATTCACTCCCCAAATGACCACAACAGCTGGAGCTGGGCTGATCTGAAGCTGGGGGCCCACAGGAGTCTCCCATGTGGGTGCAGAGCCCAAGGACTTGTACCATGCTATGTTGTTTTCCCAGGCCGCTGGATCGGAAATGGAGTAGCTAAGACGTGAACAGGTGCCCATATGTGATGCTGGTGCTGACGGCAGAGGCTTTAGTCTGCTGTGCCATGGCACTGACACCAACAGATTACTTTTTTTTTAAAAAAAAAGAAAGGTAAGTTTATTTTGGTGCAAAACAAAATTTAAATCTAAGCATTGTTTTTCCATAAGACACATTTTTAATAAATTCTTAAAAATTTCTCATATGCACAGATTTCACTTTTTTAAAGGAACTGATTTGCTAATTGATGTGTAAATTCAAAGGTCCACAAATAACCAAGGCCACCTTAAAGAAGCATGAGTTTGCAGAACTTACACTGCCACATAAGAGGGCCCATCAATCTCTAATAATGAATTCAGACTGTTATTGGGTCATTTAAGTAGCTCAAAACAGAGTCCAGAAATGGACCTGCCTCTGTCTGGGCCCTTGATACATGTCTGTGGTTGGGAGATCATCAGAGAGTACGAACTTTCAATAAATGGTATAGAGACCACTGGACATTCAACTGAGGAAAAATACATCATCAGATGTCTACTTCAAACCATTCCCCCAAATCAATTCCATACAGATAAAAGACAAATATGAAAGTCACAATTAATTTTTTAAAGTCTTTATAAGATGCCATAGAAAAATACCTCATGACCTAGGAGTAAAAAGGAGTTCTTTAAACGAGACACAAAGAGGCACCAACCATAAAAGGAAAAGATGGATAAATTTGATTCCTTTGAAATTAAGAACTTCTCTTCAAAAGACACAATAAAGAGAGGAAAACCAAGTCACAGGTGAGTGGAGCATTGGAATCCAGGAAGAGAATTTTTACTTTGGAAGGAAGGAAGCAAGGAAGGAAGGAAGGAAGGCAGGCAAGCCAATTTCACATACACACATACAGAAGAACAAACAGGCCTAGATTTGAAGATGAATTTCTCAATAGCCATTGACCTATGAAGAAACACCCAATCTCATTAATACGGTCAGGAGAATCAGTAATCGTGGAAACACAACAAGTTCTCACTCTTGGCAGAAGCTGTGAATGCTAACACCAGCTACCATTGGCAAGAACAGTGAGAGACGAGCACTCTCCTCTACCGTGGGTGCGAACACACAGACTCAGGGATGCAGGCAAACAGCTCGGTCACCCCAGCCTTAGTGACCGGATTCCTGCGTGTCAGCCTCAGAGAACCTCTTATACCCACGAAGGTTGCTGTGATCCCAAACTGGGAGCAAATGCACAGGCCTTTTGACAACTGACTAGATTGATCCGGTGCAGCCCAGGCAGCTGGTGGAACACGAGACCATGGTGAACCATGCTGCATTCAGGTGATTCTGCTTAACCAATGGTACTGACCGAAATAACAGAATCACTGGGGCGGGTGTTGGGCACAGCACTCAAGTCGCCTTTACTGGAGTGCCTGGTTCAAGTCCCCAGCTATTCAGCTTCCAATTCAGTCTCCTGCTAACATGCACCCTGGGAGAAAGCAGATGATGGCCCGAGGACCTGGGTCCCTGACACCTATGTGGGAGACCTGAACAGAATTTCAGGTTCCTGACTTCAGCCTGGTCCAGTCCTAACCATTACAGGCATTTTGGTAATAAATCAGCAGATAAAGAATTTTCTTTCTCAAACACACAAATGAAAATAAGCAAAAATTTTAAATAAGGATTACATTCCATACACCTGGATTTTTTTTTTTCAGAAGACAAAAAACTAAACCATATCATCTAAAGGTGCAAACATTGGTTGTGAAGTTCATTTGAGAAAAGCAAGCAAATCATGCATAGAAATGCCAGGACACTGGGTCTCTGGGGTGGGGAGGTTTCCACGCAGGAGGGATGGACAAGAAGAAAAAGGCGAGCTGCGAACTCTCTTATTATTCATGACTTCCTCTGGCCACATGCACTTAACAGTCCCCTGATTCCCACCCCCAGAATGTTAAAAGTGCTTTGAAGCAGAGCCTGTTTTAGGGAGCTTGAGGGCTTAGGGGCCAGGCCCCTGCTACCTGTATTTCATCTTCTGGATTTTCGAGGAGAGATTTTTCAGAACCAGGTTCCGGGTGATCTCCTTGCCCAGTTCCCAGTCCTTCCACTGCAGCTCCTCAGCCACCTCGATGCCCCAGACGATCCTCTTCCTCACTCTGTTCTGTTTCCTCAAGACGCACACCTGAGTGTTCGTGCAATTGGCAGGCTGTTAAGGTGGTGAGGAGAAGGGGAGAAGAAAGGAGACGCTGGAGGTTAGGGTGCAGATGCTTACAGGATGGCCAGAGATCCACCCCTGGGGTGGGGTGTGGTTTGGAGAGAGAAAGCAAAGCACTTGATGGGTGTTATTTCTTCTAAGATCATTGGAACTATTTGTCAGCTATAGTTCCTGCTACCCCAAAGCCTTCCTCAGACCACCACACTAGGTCATCACATCTGGCACCCGAATGCAGCCTTGGTCGGCCTGTGCGGAGCTTCAGAGCATCCCTAGCCACTTCTCCAGCAGGTGCCTATTCCTCCTCTTCTTCACTTTCCTCCAACTTCTCCCTCCTGAATCCTCTCCTAGTGGAACTTGTCCATCCCTGGTTCCTTTCCAGACCACAGGATTGCTTCACTGTCCCCTCTGCACCCTGCACTTGACTGGCAGAGCAGAAGAAGGAGCTAATTTGCCTGCAATCCACCTCCCCCACATGTCCCGACTTCTGGAGCCACTCCAAGATGCTCCTGGCAATGCCAGGGGGCAGTATGCCAATGCTTCCTGTCTCCAGTGCAAAGTGTTTCCAGAGGCAGATCCGTGGCCACTCTCTTTCCCAGGAGGGAACTTTGGAGAGGAATGGAAAGCCACGAAGCACAGGAAGGCAGAGGATGCCTTTTCCTACCACCATCACCACTATCATGGCTTAATGCATTGCTTTCTTGTCTTCCGTTTGACTAAGTATTGCTTTTCCATTGTTATATAATGCAAGGGTGTGCCCATCTATTCAACAAATATCAATTGGCAACCTGCCATGCACCAGATACAGAGCTAGATGCTAGAACCACAATGGTGAGCAAAACAGCCAACCCTCCCACTTAGGGCACTTGGATTTTGGGTCACCTAAATAGTATGGGATGGGCAACAGGAGCGCATCTTTCCCAATTCACGCATGGAGGGAAGGTGACAGGGATGTGGGAAGGAGATTTATTGTGATATCACTTGATGCATTAGTTAGGGTCCAACAAAGAGAACAGAAGTCACTCTGTTTTAAGGCAAAGAATTCTCATGCATGATCAAAAGGGTAGTACAGTAACTGAGTTAGCGGCACCAAGATGTGACTGAACGCCTCATTGAATGGGTGGCTGGAGCCCTTAGATCTGTCAGATAGAATGCAGAGCTAAGGGAGAGGGGCTGAAGGAGATGCTTTCAGAGCAGAGAGAGGAAGAAAAAGTTTCCCATTTCTCCTTCTGTAAGGAGTTATTCGAATATCCCACCCTGGACCTGGCGCCATTCCTTCTTCCTCACAGCTCACGAAATTCAAAATTCACGCCGCCATCCACCAATCAGATGTAACCTGGCATTCCACCTGAGAATCGCACCCCCAATCTTCCAGCCCCTTCCCCAACCCCACCCATTCACCAATCATCCTCAGGCATTCACCTGTAGGCACCAATCCCCTGGGGCCTGCCCTCAATCCCTCCCAATCCTCACCCCCCACACCTGGCAGACGAAAAGGCCCCAGGTGCAGCTCTCTCTCTCTCTTCTTTGCTCTTTCTCTTATCTTCTTTCTTCTTCCGGCCTCCCTTCCCCTCCTCCCCTTCCCCTTCCCCTTTTCTGATCTCCACTACCTCCACCCTGTTCCTGCCCCGCTGGAATAAACCTCCTAAGATACCTCGTTGTGTCTGGTGTTTTCAGCTCACGGTAAAGAACCAGGTTGCGGGAATTAGCTGCGCATAAAATATCATAATATCCTATGAACTAGAACTAGAACTCTAACCCTTTTTAAATAACTAACACCTTCCACCACCCGTCAATCTTCTACCAGCATGGAGCAGCATGGGAAGGGCAGTGAGTGAATCCAAACGCCAACCAGCCTGAGCAGCCCTGAGGGAGCGGTTGCATGCCTCCCCAGATACAGTCCCCTGTGCACAAAGAGGCACAGGCCACCATCATCACAACTGAGGAGACACACACTGTCTGTGACACAGACTCACTCTGCATCCTATGCCACATCACCCCCACACCCCACCAGGGAGAGAACTGGAAGAACTGCACAATGTCAACAACATCATTATGTTGTTTGATGATAAATCACAAAGTCCCAGGCATCAAGGCCACAAGAGCTGTCTGAGGGCAGAGAGAAACTCTGACTACTTGGCTAGCATCCCATTTACCCTTCTCAGGAGCTCTCCTATGCCCCACAGCCCCTCACTGCATGCTCACTGCTCCCAGCCGACAAGTGTGTGTGGAGCCCCTTCTCTCTGCAGCATCTAGTCCTGTGGTGAATACAGGTGCTCTTGCCCCCATTGCCCTGCCCACCTCACCTGGGTGCTGCCGCCACCGCTGCTGCAGACACTCATAGCAACACTGCTGCCATCGAGGTTGGGGATAGGCACTGTGCTGGTACCCAGGCAGGACCCATCCAAGTTTCGGGAGCAATCTCTGCTCTCTCTGGTCCTTGGCGATGCCTGGACAAACATTGCACACCTGCAATGCAAGGTCAAGACCACAAGCAGGGTGGGTGGGGAGCACTTTGGAGTTCCTGCCTGATCCAGGTGTGAGTGTGTAGTTGAGAGGAGAGCGCAGGGGAGAGGGGAAAGAGGGGAGATACTCGTTGTGGGCATCACTGTTATCGGGGAGGGGGCCTGTTCCCAGCCCCGGCACCAGGAGCCATGAGACAAGATATGGATCTGGGGCTTTGCCTGAGGGAGATCTCTGGATTTGGGGTAAGACTTGCACTACCATGCCTCTCCGTGGCCTTTACCCAGCAAGCACATGGCTGACAGCACAGGGGTTACCTTTATTGCTCTTGTTTCCTCTGAATGCGTCCTGCCTCCTTGGAGGAGAAGGTAAGAAGCAAGGAAGAGGCACAGGAGACTGGGTTTCCTGGGTTCTTCGACCAGAGCACCCACTACCTGTAATCCAGGTTCAGGGTAAACATCGCATTGCTTGAAGGACAAAAAGGCAGAAAGGAATGCCCGCAGCTGGGAATCTGCATATGCAAATTACATGCTGGTGTCAAGAATATAAATCATATCCTGTGCTCCCAGAAGAGCATCCACAGCTTTTGCCAAATGCTTCAAAGGGGGCGTGGCCTCGCTTTAAGAGACCCCAAATGGCTCAGACTGCCTCTGGTTCCCTCACCTTCAAGACCCCTCTTCTTTTAGCTGGCCCCCCACTGGCATCCCTCCCAAGAGTGACTTGGCAGCCTGCAGTAGGGACAGCAGTTTCCAGCCTGAGACACTCAAAGGCCAGTTCTACACATGCACTTATGGAAGGGACATGCAGCTCTGTCCCACCAGCCACCTCCAAAGCTTCTGCTCTCATTTTCCTTTATGCTCCCTTTGGAGCCATCCTAAACACACACACACAGTAGATTGCTCAGTAGCCTCCCTCATTTCTTTGGATCACCATTTAAATAAACCTTGATGCTATCTTGTGACGGTTGCAGAGAACTCTTGTGCCAGGTACCATTGTGAAACCTTTATAGAGACTGTAGCCCTTGCATCAGTTTATGTTTTCATATGACCTGCCTGCTGCTTGGCCTAAAATGAACTTTTCTAGCTTGTGCTTCAGCTGCTGGTTCTAACGATGGCTTAGTCACGGACTGGATGGCGGGGAATTCACACACTCCCATCCGATGCTCTCTCCCACCCACATCCTGCCCCCTCCTGTGCCCCTGACTCCCTAGTCAGAGAGAGATTGGGTGGATTTAGGTTTTTCCTAGATTCATTCATTCTTTCATTCACGTGTTCACTCCAGAGCACTGAATGCCCAGTAGGGACCAGGTGTTGTGCTGGACACTGGACAAGAGAGGAAAAGCTCCCACTTTGGAAGGATGAGTGTGAGGTGGATGTTCAGGGGGGATTAAAGAAATGAAAGCTGGGGAGGCAGAGAGGAGCAGTCAGGACTTTTCAGCCCTTGTTGGTTTCACAGCCTTGCTAGGCTACAAACAACCACCCCTTGCGATCTCCACTGGGCACACGAAAAGATGCAAGAAATACGGGGGACAATGGGGTGCAAAGCTGGCCCAGCGCAGCTCACAGGCGTTTGGGGACAGACCAGTGACTCCCTCCGCGCATCCTTAGTCTCCCAGATGGGCACCACAAGCTCTGAACAGACTCGGTTCACTAACAACGTGCACAGAAGCATGCTCTTCCAAAAGACACTTCCGCAGTCACTGTGACGAGACTGGGCAGCCCAGGTGCTCTGATCCATTTTCTTTTCTTTCTTTTATCTCGAGCTTCAGTTTTCCCCCCTCCCAGCCGCTCCCCCAAACTTCCTTTATCTGCCTACTCTCCGACAAAAACTAAACAAAACAAAAATCCCCAAACCGATCAACGGAAAACCTAAAGGTGTTTTTTTGTTTTGTTTTGTTTGTTTGTTTTTTGGCAGAGTCTTGTAAAGTTGAGGGAGAAAGGAAAAGGTGAAAAAGAAGCAAGGGAAAATATACTGGGAGCCTCGTGCCCTCCCTCCCTTCCCCCCTCCCATCTGATTATTCTAAGTCTCAGTCCCACAAGTCTCTGGCCTTAGTTCCTGGAACAGGCTGTTTCCCGGGACAGATAACTTCCCTGGCCACTTGCGCAGCTCCCTGGGATCCTAGGATCAACGCTCGGCACTCACACCACCTTATTGCCGTCTCCCTAGATACAAGACGCACCAGACTCGGCGTCTCCTGGTATCCCAGGACAACGACGGCAGCCCGAAAGAGCCAAAGCTCAGAGACCGCGAATGCACCACCTACTCTCAGAGCCTGCAGTTTGGATTCTCTGTTTCTCCCTGCTGCTAGCAACTGTGAACTTCTACCAATCGCGACTCGGTGTAAACACTTCCCTAGTTGTCTGAGGCTCCAGGAATTATGACTTTAGTTCACGATCAGACTCACAGAAAGTTACTTGACAGAGTGATTCCCCAAATGGGAGCCTTTTGGGATACTTACTGGTACCGTCAGATCTTCAGCCAGAGCCTCATTCTTTGTGATTACACTGGTCTACTTAAAAACAGCCGCTGGGGGAGGTAGGGTTGAGCACGGTGGTGCAGCCAGCCACCATCTGGCATCCCACTTGGCACTGATTGCAGTCCCTGATGCTCTACATCCAGTACAGCCCCTGCAGGGAAGCAGCAGAAGATGGCCCAAGTGTTGGACCCCTGCCCCATGTGGCAGACTGCTATAAAGCTCTGGCTCTCGGTTTCAGCCTGGCCCAACCCTGGCAGTTTGCGGTCATTTGGGAAATAAACCCACAGATGTTAGATCTCTCTCTCTCTCTCTCTCTCTCTTTTTTCTCTAATGCTGCCTTTTAAATAAATAAAATGAATCTTTTTTAAGAAGTAGCAGACTTGGTAACTTCTAATTTGCTTGTTGCTTTGCAAATTGATTCTTTGCTCTAGGGAAAGGAGGCTGGCATTTTGTCTTAGGGGCAATTCTTCATGGAGAACATCAAGGTGAATGGCTGTTGTGAAGGGATCTGTAGGGAGGAAAAATAATGTAACATGAACTGGGAGGAAGCCCACTTGTTCATTTGCCATGTGTGTGTGTCTTGTGGGTGAAGACATCTCAAAGCTCACTTAGAGCAGCTCAACATGCTTTGTTGTCCAGGAAGTGAGTTTTGACCCCCTAAGGTTAGAGGGTCATGAAACATATTAGGAAGAGCAAGCTTACCGAAACCTACAGTAAACCTAGAAAATAAGGTATCATTGCGGAAGAGTTGGCATTGACCTCTGATCTGTGCAAAACAGCCCGAGAGGACAAAGTGTTCTCATTTGGCCTTGTAGATCACACGGCCCGAGGCGGACAGGACTGGGGTCAGGGGCAGGCCAAGGGGCCTCTGCTAGGTGACATCAGCACAAATTGGACTGGGGTTTTCTTGGAACCAAGGAACGTGGAGCTCAGCAGGCACCTCTGAAGTTTAACCAGGACTCTCAGAATCTGAAAGCTGTGCTTTGGACATATTTTTTTTTTAATGCTGTTTCTATTTTCTTGGATGATTTTCTTTTTGTTCTTTCCAGACTTCTTTTTTGATTCAGCTGGATCTCAAGCAGCTGTCTTTTCTGAGACTGCAAAGAGACAAGGAACAGCAACTCTGAGGGAGGGTTTGATACCAGCCTCAGAAATCTCAGCAAGAAAATCCCAAGGCGGGAGAAACTCCTTGTGTCCTTGTGTCTGGTCACTAAGGAGTGTCTCATCTGCTCAATCCTTGGAAGAGTCTGGGCTTGGGACCAGGGATAAAAATGGTGTTTCCTCTTAGCAGGGCTCCAGTGGGCTCTGCTGCAGTGAAACCCTAGCTTTCCCCTGGAAGCCCTGTGAGCTAATGACCTCGGCTGACACAGGGGAGTCCCCAGGAAAGGACTGCCAGCTGGACTTTGCTTAGGGTGTGGAATGAGGCATGGCAAGGAACTGGGTCTAATGAGGGGCAAGAGGAAACAGGATTGCTTTGGAAGTCCCCTTGTCAGGATCCCAGAACCCACAGGGCCCAACAGATGCTGAATCTTGGGTGATCACAACCTCCCTCGACCCCAGACACACAGTAAGGGAAGATGCTCTCTGGTTAAAGGCTGTGAAGAAAGGTGGGTGTTGACTTTGGAAATAGGGAAAGGCCGGGTTGTGGAAGAAAGGAAAACAATGGGGGTGCAGCAGAGAACAGCTTCAGTTACCCCCAGGCTGGAAAATGAGACTGGGGAGTGAGAAAGTTAAAGCACACTCAGTGATTTTGGTTTCAGCACTTGACCCCCCCCCAAAAAAAACTTTCCTAAGCCTCCCCCCATTAAGTGTCTTCCCACACACCTCACAGCATACAGGAGACTCTGGGCTGGGAACTCAGACAACCCTGAGGTTAATTCTGAGTTCTTGCTTACTGGTTCTCCGACCTTGGGTAAGTCATGTGACCACTCTGAACTTCGGTCTCCTCATCCATGGCCTGGGATAATCTTCATTAAGTGGGTGTGAAGATTGAATGATCAGACATGGTGCAAAGCAATCACCAGTCAGATACTCAATCCAAGTACGTCACCTGCTAAGGAGGTGATCCCTGCAAATAAGCTGCTCAGCCACCTGTGCTCCTACCCCACCCATCAGCTCCTGTGCACCTGCCGCCCCCACCCCCCAGGAAGGAGTGGGAAATCCTTTTCTTCACGTCCTTCTCCTTTGTTTCTCCAAGGAGGAGCTTGCTCTGCTTTTCTGAGGTAGAGATAGATGAGAGATGTCCTGCAGTCTCAGACCAGTGAGAGAGCACCCTGCCACCAGCCTGTGCTTGGAGATGGACTGTATTGAGGGCTGGCTCTGAGATAGGGCTGCATCCAAGACATCCCTGGGGGAAGGAGGTGAGGCTTCTCACTAAAATTCTTGACCTCAAGAGTACATGGGATAGATCAGCTCAGCTCAGCCTAGAGAGTGCAGAGGGAAAGGTTAACCAAGTAACCAGGTAACCAAGTCCCTTGGTTAGTTCATGACTGGAGCTGGGCACAGACATGGAGCAGTGTCTAC